CTCGTTCCTCGCGATCCTCTCAAGGTTCTCGCGGAGTCGAATCTTTGCACAATCCCGGCCGCCATCCTCCCAAAACCCCTTCCGAAAGGCCCTTAGCGTAGCTCCGGAGCACTGCGTGTTGCTAGGCCATTCTTCCTTCACGAATTTGGGAAAATTCCCGATGTGGTCGCAGCCGTGCGCATGCAAGAGGCTGAGAGCGAATCCTGCCGAAACACGAGCGCAACAGTCCCCGTAGGCGCCTGCCACTTCGACAACCGAGCCGGCCACCTCTTGCGTCCATTCAGAGAAATCGAGTGCAGTCCTGCCTTCGCCCGGAGCACCTTCCGCCCGCGCCCCAAGGTCGTTAAGGGCCAGCCGGAGAGTGTAACAGGCCTCCTTGGCAGACTCTGTGGCCGGTACCAGGGTCGCAGCAGTAGCTTCGGCCGACGCGAGACGGGCTTCGAGGGATTTAATCTTCTCCTCGGCCGAAGCAAGTTGTCGGTCTCGTTCGGCGTCCCGCTTGCTTGCTGCTTCAAGGTTAGAGCAGAGAGATCTATTTTCAGCATTCGCCTTCTTCAAAGTCTCTGCCACCACACGCCTTTCGTCTTCCTTGTGGCGAAGATCTTCTTCGGACTTGAGAAGGCGAAGGCGGTACCCAGATGTCATTCTAAGGCGGACTTCTTAGCACTTAAGTGCGCGGCAAGGCCCTGATAAAAAAACATACATTACGTCAGAGAGCTAGCAAAGGAGCAAAATTCAGCACGCAAAAATAAGTCATACCTGCACAAATAGGCTCTCGACAGCCGCGCAGCTTTCGCCGAACTCATTCAATTCGGTGAAGAAGCAAAGGCCTTAGGTTGGCGCTATGACCTGGCACACCCCGTCCACGAACGGAGTGATCTCCAGCCGCGTGGCGAAGTCGGCGGGGACGAAATGTGGGGCGGTAAGAGTCATGTCCGAAACGCTCGCTTCGACCGCCGGGGCCTTCCCCTCTCGGTTACGAATAGGTGAAGGGACCACATCGACCAGTTCGTCTTCAGCAACGTTCGCCCTAGCGGCCGGGGCTGAGGCACTCCCGCCCGTCGCCGCTTCGGCATCGCTAGCGGGTGGCGGAGACATGCGCCTGCCATGGGAAGTTGCGCGCCGCAACACCGGCAAAGTAGGGGTCCCGTCGGACCCTTCGCTGTCTGAAAAGCCATGGCCGACCTGCACAACCTTCCCTTTCTTCTTTTTCCTTCTGACAGCCATCATCGGTTTCGTGGCTGTGCTGGAGATCACCAAAAGGGTGTTCGCCACGACGATATCTTGTGGTCGTGTAGGTGAGACATGAGAGCCTGCCCCGGATTTCGCAGGGGTAGGGCTGGGGGTATAGCCATGAGAGCCATCCTCCTCAGAACCGGCATCAGCATCCTCCTCTTCCTCCTCCCCATCACTTTCGACGGCGGCCTTCGCGCTACGGCGAGTTCGGACTTGGCCGCCTTTCGCGACCGCACGCTTGCGCTTTTTCGAAGTGCCAGCCTCGTCATCGCCGGCCCGAGAGGGGTTTGATCGGCTTGGCAATTCGCCGGTATAGACACGATTCAGTCGGCCGTCGGCTTGGCGCTGGAGCAAGCGGGCGAACTCGGCTGTGGTTAGAGCCCCGATCATCTTCGACGCCTTAATTTCAGCTCTTCCAAAGTCCGCACTGCGAAAAGAGAGGAACACAACCGTTTAGCCTTAAAAGCGCTTTCGTGAAGGAAGTATGCGGCCTAAGTCAAAAACAAAAACCTTACTTTCGGCCCTGGCGGGGAGAACTAGGCGGGGAAGCCCAAGAACTTCTTCGCCCTCGTTCACGGAAACGTCCCACACACGGGCGAGATGGGAAATCTGAAGGAGACAAAACTCCTCGCAAAGATCCCGGGTGCTCAGCCGTCGGGCAACCTTGCAAAGGAGAATGAGCCGGGACTCGGGACTCGAGAGTCCCATCGATCTCCACGTTTGGCTTCACGTTGATGGAGACGGCAGAACGCTCAAAAAGCAGCTAGTTCGCCTGAGCATCTTCGGCGGAGTAGGGGTTGCTGATGTAGAACCATTTCTGCATCCAGTTCCTGTCCCATTTCGCCATCGATGTAGGCACTGGCCAAGCATCTGAACGCTTCGGCCGCAGCATGAAGTTCACTCAGCCGAAAACAGTTTTCCTCGGACCCGCCGGCGTCTGCACGTCTTTGGTCAAGGCGCATGCAATAAACAGAGTGGCGAAAAGCTCGGCGGTAGGGGAGAACCCACAGGTCCGGCACATCCAAGCGAAAACCGCCAGCTTCGGGAACGTCGACGGGCTACGCTGGGGAAGCCTAACCTCATACATCGAAAGCACTGAAGGCAAGAAGTGGTCGCACGGGAGGCGAAGCCCAGCAGCGAAGTATGAAGACAATCGTTCGCCCATCCCCAGGCGAGGGAACAACGGCCTCGCCCCCGCACGATCCTTGGCCCTCTATGAGAGAACCGGATGATACCAGTTCGCCCAAGTCGGCCTCTTTGACAAGTGATTTGCCAAGGAAGCACGACCATCCTTCGCCAAGGCTTCCAGGATCTTCGCCAGTTGACCCGGCCTTGGTAGGCTTGCGGGGAGCCATTAGGCTCGTAGCACAGAAAAGAGAGGTAAAAAGCCGAAAGGCTAGGAGCACAACGATGGCGAAAAAGCTAAAAAACAGGAGAGCGAAAAGAGCACGGAGCGTGTCAAGCGGTAAAAAAGGGGAGAGCACGGGGAGAGTGAAAAATGGCAGGCCGGTTTGGGGGTATATATAACCCCGTAGCGAGACCGTTCGCCTGCCAACCAATCGAGCTCTGACATGTGTCAAAGGGCAGACGAAACGGTAAATTCCCATCGGGACGATGCCGAACAGTAAAAAGCCCGAATACGGAGAAGGAAAAGCCCACAGGGCCCATTACTATTCATAGTAATAAAAGAGACTAAACAACCCCCCTTCGACGCTTTGCAACGAATGCGAAGAGGAGTTTTTTCTCAAAGAAATTTTCTCTAAGCGTAGAAACAAACAAACTTTACTTGCAGGAGCGATGTAGGTTTTGGCAGGAGCACCGGTCGAAAGGGGGCGCCACATACCATATCACATGGTTTGCACGGTCTCGGCCGAAGCTCCTATCTCACCCTTGCCCGTGAGGGGCTTGTTGGCGATTTGGCATGAGGCCCTTCGACCAAACCTGTCGAAAGGATGTGACCGATGAGGATTCAAGCCCAAGACGTCAGGGTTAGTCAAGGCGAACCCTCCCCATGGCGAAGACTATGGAGCAAGGACGGCGAGAGGCAGGGATTCGCAGCCAAGCTAGAGGCCTCCTGGGCGAAGGGCGCAAGGCGAAGAGCATATGCCAAAGGGGGACGACTTCGCCGTAGCAGTTTCGGCCCCGGGAGGGCCGAAGAAGCTATCTTGGCCCATCAAGCCTAGGGGTCAATTGGGTCGACAATAACCCGTCGGCCCGCTAAGGGCCCATGGATCCAACGTTGTCAGTTTCCCGATTCGTATCCTAGTATTTTACGATACTACGATCCTACCAAGCCAAAACGATACCGATCCCACCTAGTATCCTAATTTTCATAGTATCTCGATCCTACTATTCATTACTACACGATCCTACGAAATCTTAGGTGGTATCCCGATTCTACGATTCCTACGATACTACAAAATATTATTTAAAATAACATGGTTTGAAAATAATGTAACTAAATACGCTCAAAATTATATGAAAATCAGTTAAATATATCAAAACCAACATGGTTTCTCTTGATAAATGTCTCTATTTGCATGACATATATCATTACTACATTTTTTTATATAGAATGGCTATATATAATTAATATAAATATTAATTAAACTTAAAAAAAAGAAAATCTCATAGTATCCTGATTCTACGATACGATATTACTTTGAGCAAAATGATACTACCTAGTATCCCGATCCTGACAACCTTGTATGGACCGTAATTACGCTATGTACCCATGTAAATGTCCCTTTCATAAGAGCAACCATGTAAATTCCCCTGCATAACCAAAGCCCTAGTAGTAAGACCTGTAATAGGGGCTATAAATAGCCCCATAGGGCCATGTAATAGGGGGATCCCAAGTAAAATTCTCAAATTAATACACTTTTTACTTCTTTTCCAACCAATGTCGAGTGACCATGTCTTTCGACGTATGCGGTTGTCGTTTCGACAACACACTTCATGGGAGTGTATTAAATGAAAAAAAAGTTAACCTACAGAGAGAAGCCATGATAATAATGATTAATGAATAGTCCTTTTACCCTCCCAATAATATTTTTTGTTTATTTCCAATTCACCAATATTAGAATTATTAAACACATACAATAGCTCTGGTCGTTGAACACATTTAGTCCATCTGTCCATTGAAAATGCTAAGGTCCAACAATGTTAGAATTGCCCGGTGAAAACAATGCTAGAATTATTAAATATCACAGTAGTTTACATACTTTTCACTCGGGTAATTGCATTTTTTGCTAATTCTTCATATGGACTATCTTTTGCATGTCAAATAAAGGATTAAGCTTGTTTCGTCTCACATCTATATTAGTGTTAGCATTTTAGAATCTGTTTCTTTTAGGATGCATAATAAAGGTTTGCTGCACATTTAATGAAGAAAAGCTTCGTCACATCTAAACCGTGCATAAAAGGGATGACTTCACAACTTATTTTTTCTTATCTTGCTTGTGGCAATACTGATATACCTTCGCCCTTTGTTTGGCATATTATATATATCTACGGTCTACAAATTAGAATCATCGATAAATTGGTCATCTATTGCTAAATCTTCATTTGCCAATGTGGTTTAGATGCTTTCTTTTTAAAGCATGTTTGCAAATGGACTATAGTATTGTTGAATGTTGATTTATTGGGTTTAATTACTATCTCATAATATTATGCCATCGAGAGAATGTTGTTTCTGTGTTCAGCCTGCACTTGGCCTTGGGTGACACCTCATTTTTTTTTCTATCCTCTTCCAATGACCCCAGATCGGCAGCGGTCTTGCAAATCTTATGCTGAGGTGAGCTCCAAGCATGGTGCCAGATCAGGACGGTGAACTCCGGCATGATGTGTGAGCCGATATGATGGCTAGGCTGTGGCGACCCGTAGAAGTTTGTTTTTATCTCCCTGCTCTATTTGATGTTAGATTCCATTATGTATATTCAGAGATCCAATCAGTATTAATTAGTTAATGTTCATGCATCGGATTTGTTAATGCAGATGTTCTCTAAGCACTTCACTTCGGCTAACAGCCCATGTTACAAGTTCTATCGTCCATGAGCAATCAAGCAACATCAGATATGGAGAGAATCGGAAGCATGGGCAGAGATATGCGTATCATGAGGTATTCTCTTCACTTGCATGACAAACATCGTCCCATTAAGTACTAATCCTAACTAATTTATTGTAAATCATGCCCCTTGTATAGTTTGCTTCTCTGGCTGAAGTACTATAGCTGATTCCTTGCTTTTTTGTGCCAGATAGAAAATATTTCCATGTTCCTTCGCAAATTATAAACAGCGTTGAATACAGGATATTCCCATATTTCTTTAACAATCAATATTAAATATTGTATTAACTGTGAACCTTTATTTGCTCCTTCTCTTTATTATCTAAATTTGTTCTAACCATTATCACCTTCTTATATTCTTTCCATATCTTATTAGACCGCTAAAAACACTCTTTTATCATCTTATCATATAGGTCGCTATCTTTCTTATATTGTACATATTTTCCCTGCCCCAAAAATAGTTGATCTTTACATGCACCCACAATAATGCTATTCCTAATTTTAGGTCTGCCTCCATTATAGAACAGCAACATTTTATTCAGCCACTGATATACAAACAACATATGTTCCAGCTTTTTTATGATGACTCAAACAACATCTGCTATGCTAAGGTTCACACAGTTGGATGGAGAAGATTTTGTAAGTGCAAACAGCTACTTTTCGCATTCGCATGAACATACTACGCTATCTGTTACTGATGGGAATTTTTTTTGTAGCCTCTCCCACCCGAGATTGTTGCCCGCTGCAATGGACACGATGGGAAACATCTAACTTTAGTCACACGGAATAGCAAACCAGTGAATGTCAGGCTCGAAAAAAGAGGCCAATCATTCTACATCTCGAAAGGCTGGAAAAAATTTGTTGAACTTACTGACTTACGTGTTGGACAGTGTGTTAGATTTAGTGTCTCTTCTCCATCAACACTTGATCTCCTCATACTTGACAAGCATGGAACAAGTCTTGCCATACCTCCATCAAAAAGAGATCTGAAATTAAAGTCAAAAAGGTCTACACACCAGGACAGCAAAGGTACTCTCGCCACACAAACACCTTTCGTTACAAACAATATGATTATAGTCTCACACCAATTAAGTCAAGAGCCTCATTTATTCATTAACCTATACCATATCATTAACGATACCAGCTCCCTTACTAACGTGCTTCATATTCCTATTGCAGGCCATCCATCTAACACTGATCCAGGACCATCACGTATTATCAACCGCAGGGTGACCAAATCAGGTCAACTGATTACCCATGCCGTTACTTTAGATTGCGTTCCTCTTTTAGTCCTAATAGAATTTCAACACGTACAATTAGCATCACGGCACGCAACAACATCATTTAATCATACAGCCCGCATCTCACATCTCTTCATGGCCTAGGTACACCACCACCAAAAATATATTTAACTTCCTATTTTTACACTGCTGCATAGTGCACCCATAAGAAGTAGCATAAGCACTTTTACAGGCCGAACCACCCCGCATTGCCATTCCCTGTATTATTGCTAATTGGATTCTTTCATACATATTCAAAATACTTATACAATACTTCCATGCAGCAAACAACAAACCCAAGTTTGCAGATCTTTGCTTCTGTGCCGAGAATGTTACCTTATCAACTGCTCTGAAAAGGCACATGAAAACCCTTGCATAGTGCATCGAACATCCAAGTAAACTCTATGTTGTCACCATGAATGAAACGTTCATGAAACAAGACAGAGTGGTTAGCTTTTTTTACCTATTTATCATCGTCTTATATTTAGAATCATCAGCTAACACCCAACTTCTGGTACAGTACTTTTCAAAAAGGTACCCTATAGACCATCTGGAGCAGCTCATGACTGGCAGAACAGAAGATATTGAAGTGCAGACATTAGTAGGCCCTTCAGTGAACATGGTTCTTCACACATCAACAGACCATCGTTGCAACCTAAAAAAAGGATGGACAGATTTCGCCCTCAGCAATGGCATCAAGTTGAACACAGTGTGCATTTTCCATTTTTACAAGACAACCCATCTAGGAGTGATTGTCGATATCTTCTGAAGATACCCTAATGCTATCTGATATCATGCTTTTGTTAATAGCAAGCGTCCCTACCTCCATACAGTCTACTATTTATATATTATAGTGCCAATGTTATGGCCATCAGCTCTGAACCATATAAATACACTGTGTGCACTCTACTTATCAGTCTATTATGGCACTTACATATGTACACACTGGAAGGGACACCAGTCAACCTCCTTAACTATGTATGAACCATTCACTTCTTTATCTGTAAAGACGAACTGTCCTTCCTTCACTGCTTTCTTCCTTATTCAATTTGTTCATTATACCTGCTATCCTATCTTCACTACCCTTTACCTTTTTAGAATGATTAGCTATACCTGTGCATACTTTTCCTGCTTCGTCGAGTCTCGCCCAGGCGGCGCGCCATTGGCGCGCCCAGCCCTCTAGTTCTGATAATCCCCCGTTTCTTCCCAATCTATTGCTTATCCTATCCTATACTTCTATTTCTATGTAAATTTGTGTCACAAAGCACTTTATCTTGCGTCAGAATTGAATTATTCTCCCTGTGCATGTTGTTGATCTGTAATATTTGAGTTGGATTGTAACAGAATGGGAAAGAGAAAAAAATGAAAGGGGAAGTTGTAGAAATTTTCTGAAGTTAGTGATCACTGGGAAAAAATTAATGCAAAAAACCGACAAAAACACGAAGCCCAACAAAAAGATAAAAACATCAAACATATTTTTTAAGTAATTAATTAATTAGATAGAATCCTTTTCTATTTTCAAATGTCTATTATAATTAAGCTAGAATTAAGACAATAAAAACTGATTTAAAATTTTAAAATACAACAAATTATTCCCCAAATTGGGATGTGATATATCTGAAGTCATGTAATTAATTCCTGGAAGATTGAATGATTCTGTTCTGTTATATCATGTACATAAACGTATATATCTCTGTTAGAATGGGATGTGGCAGTCCACAAAGCTGTGCTAACTTTGAATAATGGTGATGGTTGGCTAGGTCAACAGGAACCATACTGGCAAACTGGTGCATATATATATATATGCTTGCAAATTGTACTAACACATTTGCTTAACTCCCTTAAAATCGGCACACACGCTAACTTAATGTCCTTGATTGTTGCGTGGTGGTAATTTAATTACTTTAATTAGACTCATGATTAATTCGTGCAAGGAAGCTGATCCATGTGTTGTCACGCTGTAAACGTACAAGAGGTGCCGCGCATGCATATGCATATAGCAGATGCACCTATAAAGCAATAGGCTAACCAATTATTATGGGGAAAAAGCGGTATGAAACAAGCAATATGAAGAAGCTTAATTATCTATTAAACAAGCAAGCTTGTGTAAAATTGTGAACTCCTCGAGTCTATCCTATATATTAGCTGAACGTTCTCATATGTCCATGTATGACTAAGAATGTCGTTTGTTTACCTTCTATAAAAAAGGAATGTCAAGTGTTTTTAATGAGCTGCATCAACGTGGATGTTTTAGTGATGTACGAATACGACGGATTAAATTAGCTATGGTATTCATTAATTAGTTTTCCTTCATTTATGTTGGCTAATTTAATACTGTAATAAGTACATCTTACGATACTGTAGTAAGTAAATATATCCAAAATGGATAATATCAACAACAATTAGGGTGATTAAGTACTATCTGTCTGTCTATCTGTCTGCTGTCTGTCTATCTATCTATCTCTATCTTATCTGCTAATCTGGCATTTCCTAAGAACTTCTAGATGAAAAAAAAAGTAGCCACTTATTGGACAGATCCTCTCTTACTGTAAAGTTATAGCCACTAATTTTTAAAAGTTTAACTTGCAAAGATGCCACATCATTATCCACTGACAATTATTATATTTAATTTAATCATCGTGCAAGCATATTGTATTATCTATAATTTAATAATTTATCTAAAGCTTAACATGCAAAGATTCTATAAATGCAATTATTACATTTAATTATCATGCAAACATGCTATATTATCTATATTTTAATAATTTATTAAATTTTAGATATTTAAATTTAAGCATGCCAAATCACCCCACATAATTCACATAATATTTCAATATATCTCTCCATCATTTTTTTATAATATCCTATATACCTATATAGTTCATTCTCATTTAGTTCATGTTATTTTTCTTTTCTCTCATTTAGTCATATCACATCAATTGATTTTAGTCCTTAGATGATCAATCTATGGTTCAAATTATCTCTCTTCTTTTCTTCTCTCATTAAGCCATATCATCTCAATTTTTTTATTCCTTAAATGTATGGTCTAAATTATCTTCCTTCTTCTGTTCTCTCATAAAGCAACATCATCTTACTTTTACATTTGAATCATCATTCTACATACTATTTAAATTTAAATCAAATCAACTTATGTAAACTTATGTTTATATAAGCTTATATTGTTTAATCTATCTTACACATTATTTTACTTATCGTTATCATAGTAAACTCCCGCAACAACGCGCGGGGTTTCACCTAGTTGTATTAATTATCATAATCATAGACATGTATTTAACATTATGGACTATGGTAAAAAAAAAACCTATTTGTTATGTGACTCCTTTTCAATTGGTAAATAAAATGTATAGATTGTCGATCATCGTACGGTGTTTAGCAAGCAATACAAATATCCTGCAGTAACACGTCGAATATTATTTAGTTGACTTTATAATTAGCCCAATCATAGTATTTCACATCGATTGAGATCAATTTGAGTAGTGATAATAAAATCAAACGTGAGAAAAAAAAAAGATGGTCATGGTATTTTAAAGATGGCATTTCTTTGTAATAAAATTATATCTATACCTAATTAAAAAATACGTAAGGTTTCCGTATTTTTCTTTGGTCCGTTCCTTTTTTTTCCGCTCTGTTTTTTTTTTCACGCGTCGCTGTTTTTTTTTCACAAGCGATCACTATGCGAGCGGCGACTGCTGGGCCAAGTGGACAGGGATGACGGCCCCAGGGAGAGAAGAGGGAGGAGAGGAAGCGGGCCGGCTCAGGGTAGGAGGAAGGAAGAACGGGACATACTTGGCCCAGACTTAGAAGAGAGTTTTTATTTGTTTTTAATTTAAATTAACTATTGGAATTATTTGGTATTATTAATATTAGCAATTGAATTCTAAAAAAATCAAATAAATTCTAGATAGTGTGATTAATCATGAAGAATTTAATGAAAATAAAATTCAGTCATGTTATTTTATTTTCCACACTTACCATATTTGTAAATTGATTTAATTCTACACCTACCTAATTAAAAAAATACACAAGCATTCGGAAACTTTTTGAGCATAGCCCGTTATTGCATCATCGCGCGTCATTCTGCTTTCTCATACTCTCTGCTTCGTCCGTTGTCTGTGCAGAAGTAGGATAGAACACGATGATCGATGGGTGCATGGATCCATGCTAGAGTAGGAGAGAAACACGCCCGCACGGAAGGTCCGCGTCTACATCGGTCTTGCGGTCACAAACGCACAAGTCTGAGCCTATATCATGTGCGTGAGCGATGCACGCTCAACATTACAAGGCCCACACCAAATTTTGTTAGGCCAAATAGTGGTAATTTTTAGAATTAATTAGTTTTCAAGTCAAATAATTACAAAATCTTATTTTGATGGATAGCGTCCAAATTAATGTGCGGTTATATTTGAATACATGTGTTTTCAGTTTCCTTGACTCTTTTGGTGAGAAGATGCAACCAAATATTTATATATTCACAGTTAAAGCATGCAATTATACCGATGCATGGAGGGTTCAGCGCCTGTGAACTGGAAGAAAGAACCCATTAAGATAGGCATGGTCTCTTCTCACCAAAAATATATACATTTGGTCGGTTGGTTTGGCATCACATGGAATTGGGTCAAAGAGTTAATGTAACGTTGGGACTGAATTGAACTAACTATAATTTCTTTGATGTATCTTCTTTTGCGGTATTTGACGCAGGCTTTAATTTGTGATTGCATTGTGTGTTAGCTTAGTGAAGATACTATGTAGGTGCCGTGCTAATTCAGAGCTGATTTAGACTATTTTGAATAGGTTAATTAATAATTCCATGTAAAGGATATGCTTTGCTTGAATTATGACGAAACTTGAGACCTGCAAATCTGATGTTTATTATAATTTATTTTTTTCTGTTGCAACGCAAGTGTATTTTTCTAGTCAAAAGTAAACAGCGGGAATTTGTACTAAACCAGTGAAAAATAATTTTTTATAAAAGAAAAGGTGAATGGGTGACAGCAGAGAAGAAACAGAAAAAATGCCTAGAAACAGGGGAAAAAATTGAAAGAAAAATTAAGGAACTTAAACAACTAGCCTAAACACATACCCAAAAATTTTCGTATAGACGCTCGAAACTTTGGAGATAAAAAAAGGTTTAACTCAAATTTGAGAGAAAAACTTCTTCCTAATCCTTACGGTAAAAAATCACTTGAGAGAAGAAAAATCAAGGGAACTACTAAAATCGCAAAGTGTCTTTTGATAATTTTTTTTTCTAAATGTAACCATGCTATACTTAAGTACAGCTCAGTACTGGAGAAATGATATTTTCCATATGGTGTAAAAACCACAATAGTCCCGGTTCAATATAACTATAACAAATTACAGTGTACTTGCACTGTAACGACATTCTAACATCTAAATTACTGTATGAAGTTACATACAACTTTTTAATACTTATATAATTATATATAAGTTATATTAAGTTATAATAAAGTTACAGTATAATTACACTGTAATTGTAATTATAGTTATATTGGAAAGTTTTTTAACAAAAAACCTTGTGGTAGTTTTTAGTTAGATCCCAAAATCAATAAACTCTGGTAAAAACAGGGGAAAATCAACCTCTTTTTTCACATATTTACTGCTTCCCATCCCCCTGCCGTATGTTCCTGGCCCGGTACTGGTTTCACAACGTTGTAGTGGCTGTACTATACCATGTACTCCAAAGAATGGAGAGCATGTCCACAAAACATATGTATGTCAGCATGTCCAATTAAGTTAGCTTAATTAGCTCGCAATGGATGCCGATCAGGTGTATATACATGCATGCTAGCTATTGCTTTATATGGTACAAATTCATCACCACTTTATACTAAATACATTTTACCTGACTGATCTGTATCATCAGGAAAAGGTTCTGTGTTGCCTTGCTCCTGTTGTCAACTGTCAGGAATTTAAACAAGCCTCCACGACCATATATTGTCACAATGTCGCACGCTTACGTGTCCATGCAAATATTACTACCGCTAGCATAATACCCGTGTGTTGCAATGTTTTTCTATTGTCATACATTGTTCTTGTGCTAATTTTGCTGTCATTTTGTAATTATGAAAATTCCATAATATTCTGTTGTTATATTTTTCTTTCGACGGGGTCTATAACATGTGGGGGCTGCCAAACTAGCAAAATATGGTCTTCATGTGTGCTACATGATAGTTAGGTGGTGATGGTGACAAATTAACTCACCTTCCTTTCCTTTCCTTTCGATAGGGTATATGGCACGTGGGGTTAGGAAATATGTAAAGTTTGATCCCAAAGTTTATTGGTCTCGCATGGTAATGGTAGTGGTGTTAAGTCTGCCACACCACCACCCAACCACTTTCTTTTATATTAGTATAGATATCACTTCTACCATAAAACATTAGCTATAATACAAGAAAATAAATCAAGGAAAACTTGGCCTATTTTATTCTATTGCGACATGAAAAGTTTAGATGTTAACACTTCGTACAGTACAAGGCATTTGACGGCCTATTTTAATTCTATAATATAATAGGTAAATTATCAATTATGATATTGATTATTTAGTGCTCTTGTTACAGAGAATGTGCACGTGTTCATGTTTAAACACCTATTAAGCGTGAACACCAGAAAGAGAGAGAGAGAAGTTCAGGGTGTACCAGTGTACGAGTGGCGGAGCTTGGGTTTTTCTTTTTTTTTTAAAAAAAAAAACAGCGGAGCTTGGTTGATGTAGTCAATCAGATCGACTCTCGGCGCAGAAAGATGTTCACAGTGCAGACCCACGGGCCATGAACGACCTTTGGGAAGTGGAGGAAGTAGACAATCAGATGCGAGCAATCACGCAAGGCTCCACCTCTAAAAGCCTGATAGCCCATCTATCACTGCAAACATCGCCATGGCTAACGTGGCCAATCAACGCTACCAGGCATGGCTAAAAAATTCAGTTTTTAAAAATATTTTTTTAAACTATTAATAAAATTAAAAAAAATAAAAAGGTCAAAATAATAAAAAAAATTCGCAGCAGTAGCGGTAGGAACAGTGGAGTTGTCTCTTTCCTTTTATAGTTATCGAATAGGAAAGGAGTGCCTCTCATCTATATGCATGCAGGAGGAGAGGAGAGGAGAGGATGCAGTTGGACGTCACCATAATCTCCATCAAGTACTAGTAATGGTGAGAGTTTATTGGCTATGGTTAATTGAGTGAATCAATATCACTTTTTGAAGAACCTACTGTAGGAGTTCTACCGGATATACTGACAAGAAAAGAGTTGACCTAACTTATAAAGAAAACCGGGTCCAAAAAACATACAACTACACATGTAACTATATGAAAACCGATGAAACCCCACACAGAAGACAAAAATGCAAAAAGCCTGTGACGAAACGACTGTGAATCATATGAGCGACCGAGGAAAGAGTAGGACCTTCAAGCCATATCCTCCAAGGATGGAAGCAACGACAATGCCGCTGCCAACACCCATCCAAAACTTGACTTGGTTTTCACCTGAAGGGATAGAAAGTCATCAAGGCAACACCTTCAAGAAGGAGACGGCACCCGCAGGCATCGATGTCGCTAGTCATGGATAAAGGCCATGCAGGGCTTTTGCCCATGACTCTCAAAAGCTGAAGGACCTCCAACGATGCCAGAGCGAAAGCGTTGAGTGTTATCGTTGCCCAGCCCATCGGCTAAACCCGATGCAGTAGCTTCGACTGCACCAAAATACGAACACTCTAGCACCACAGAGGACCAGTAATCACTACAAAATCAGCACTACGACAGGTCCACCTTGCCGGAAGCCTCGACAAAGCACTGGCAAGGTCAAAGTTCCCCCGACCACCAACTTGAGAAACCACTTTCATACACAAACACCTTCTCATCCCCTCAATGGCTCCATGACCGAAATCTAGAAACATACCGGCCATAAGAGAGGAGGAGCACCAAGGAGAGGGAGGAGGCCTGGCCGACCGGAAGAGGAACAAAAAGATGAAGATATGGGCACCAAAGACGATGTTGTCTTTTATGTCTCCGACGAGAACCGAAGGGGAACAAGACAGCTCCCAAGAATCGTCGGACTTCGCGGGGACGACCAAGAGAAAAACAAACGATGACCAAGTGAGCAACCTACACAACAATCCCTCCTTGCAACTGCAGCCACCATCAACCACCTTCAACTTCACCACAAGAACAGAGAGGGGAGAGCTGGGGCGAGAAGCCTTGCTACGAGGACCTACAACCATCTTCGAGGGAGAGAGTGAAAAATGGGGGAAGTGTAGGAAATGCAGATGGCAGTTGCGGAGGTGGGTGAGGGGGAGGAAATAAGTGCCGCCTAGAGGGAGGAGTGCCAATGCCAGAGAGGTACGATGACCAACGACAAAGGGGCAGGAGCAGCAGAGGGGAGCCCTAGTACCCCGCCACCAACACGCTGGCCAGCGCGCCACAGGAGTAGCCTCCTGCGCGCCAGTGAGATCCACCGTCGACACTACCCGGCCCCTGTCAGAACAAGGTAGGGCAGCCAGATCTAGCAGATCTAGATCTGGTCACCCCCAACTTCATCGGCCAACCAACCGATCCCCAGGACTCCACCAACTCTGTCGCTGCCACCATTTTGCCAGGCAAGAGCCCGCTATCGTCACCGGGGAACCTTGTCGCTGGACCACCGCGGTCACCACCAGCCAATCTTCTCCCTACACGAAAAGGCAAGCCACCATGGCAATATTTCCTCGTTGCTGCCATCCTAGCTCGCTGCGGTGGACACCGACGGTCACTCTGGCGGTGGTGAGGCAGGTGGAGGGGGATTGGGAGTGGCGGCGGTAAGGGTTTCTTCATCTGCCTGAGTCCGCCCACGCGGGGGCCTGCAGGGCGTAGTTTCTATAGTGTATTGTAGTGAATCAATATCATCAACAGCAAATTAACTATCAGATTTTATTGGCTGTGGTTAATTGAGTGAATCAATTATTCATCAACAGCAAAATATATACCTCAAGCGTGAGCGAGTGGCAAGTAGGTAGTCTCCTCTTAAGTTCACATATGGTCAGGGTTTGAAATTTTGGTTCGAAATTTCATCCCCCACCGGCATACTCAAATCTCGCCCGAAATTTTTGGTTTTTTTGCAATTTTTTGTGAATTTGGACGAATTTTATTCAAATTCAAATAATTTAAGCCAGAAATTATTGAAATTTCTGAATTTTTGGTAATTTCGGTCACCTTCGGCATAAAATCCAATTTCAAAATTTCAAACCTTGCATACGGTGCACTAAGAGTCCACCGGCCTACTATTAAAGTTACTAGGGGATTCCCCGCGCTTTGCTGCGTGAATTACTAAGTAATTTTCAATATTATTTTTCGTTACAATTCAGCTAGGAGTAAAAAGAAAAAAAATCAAATCTTAGGGCTTATCAATATTTATCATGAAACAAATGAAATTCGCACTTTAATGTAGAACATGTTGATAAGTATATATTAAATATTATAAAAATGATAGAGAGATTTGTAAAACTATTGTGGAAATGATGTGAGAGGTGGTGATTGAATATGCTTACATGATAATTTGTAGAATTAAATAGATTGTAGATGCTCTTGCATGCTTGCATGAGGTTGAATATGTAATTATTGTTAGTGGGTGATGATGTGGCATGGTTGCATGTTAAGCTTTAGTGTTAGTGGGTTATAACTTTATAGAAAGTATAGATTAGTGGGATGAAATTATGTTGGATGATAATTTAACATGTTTGTATTTGAAAAGCTCTTAAATTATAAAAACTATAAAGATATAACATGTTTACATGATGTTTAAATGTGATGATTGTTAGTGGATGATGATGTGGCATCTTGTTAATTAGTGGATGATGATGTGGCATCTTGTTAGTGGATGATGATGTGGCATCTTTGCATGTTAAATTTAAGGAGTTAGTGGGGGATAATTTTATAGTAAGATAGGATTAGTGCGATGAATATTCCTCAATTTCCCATATTGGATTTTCTCCTTTGTAACTCACTAGCATTAATCGTAGGCCTCTCAATTTATTTGATTTAATTGAAAATAAAAAGGGCCAAGCCCAACTAAATCGAACAATAACTTTTGCCACTTCTATCGTAATCTCTCCACAGAAACCAACGGTCAGCATCTTAGGTCATATTTTCCCTGAATATATATGTTGTGATTACTGCAAGCATTTGCAATAGGAATTCAGATATATATGTAAAGCATGCATGCACATGAAGTTGACGAGATGAGTTGCCTCCACACTTTGCCCATTTCCCTAGTTTGTCCCTCTCCATCTCCTAGTGAACCAACGTTTTCAGCTTGGGCTACGTCAGATTGCCGTCCCTTGAAGCAACACACGACCGATCGAACACACAGTTGATGCTCATCACTTTCGCCTGCACTTGCACATATATTCGTACCTCTCAACATCAAAACTCGCTAGACAAGTTAGTTATAGTTAGTTATTCATATACCGGTATATAAGTCATCTCTTCCAAATCTTTCCTAGTATGCACACTATCATTACTATACACGTATATATTTCATCAGCATAGTAGCTAGCTTGTTGGCATCTATCTCTATCCCTCTCTATATATTTTCTCCCTAGAACTATTTCTCTTCTCTTTATATTTCTCCCTCTCTCCCTCTCTTTGTAACACAAACCAAGATGGGGAATGGAGGGCGATGCATGGTGGAGGTGGTGATACTTCTTGTGTTGATGGCTATGTCGCAAGGATGCGATGCGCAGAATACTACCGGAGGACTGACGAGAAAGAGCTTCCCTAATGGCTTCGTCTTTGGAACCGCTTCATCGGCTTATCAGGTTTCTTCTTCTTCTTCTTCTTCTTCTTCTTCTTCTTCTTCTTCTTCTTCTTCTTCTTCTTCTTCTTCGACTTTGACACGTCATGATGGTCTTGGGAGAGGTCATTCTCTCATATACTCCCTCCATCCAAAAGTTGGCAAATGAAAAAAATCCTGGTACACGGCAAATGAAAAACAATGTCCAGACAACGGAGTTTTTTTTAACTAAAATATCTCTAAAAATTAATTAGATCATACTATAATAATATTGTTATGCTGGAGAATCTTGCATTGGCTCTGCCCTTGGTTCCTGGATGATCAGTTAGCGCACAGTTTTTTTACTAGAACATATGATATTTTGTTTCTTTTTGGAGACCACTAGAATAGAAGGGGTGATCTATCTGATTAATTTGTCCATATATCATGGTACATGAGAAAGAGATTTGAATATATTTTCCATGGCACCTCTGCAATTGAACTGTTGCTTCACATGCTTTTGAGACGATATCTAGTTGGAGAGAACTTGGAAAAGAGTCTGAGCTAAACAAGAATAAGGCAAAAGAACAAGTGGTAGTGCCTTGCTCCCGTGATATTAGGATATGTGCTTTGTCTTTGTCATCACCGACTCTCTCTTCAATGCCCTTCTTTTGCTTGGAAGTCATATGGCAGTTTTTAATTAGCAGCAGATAAAAACGGATATCAATATTATGTTAAGCACCGGCCATGTATAATCATCTCAATGCCAAAAAATCCCCCCAAAAAAATCTCAATGCCAAAAAAAAAGTCTTCTCCTTCATCGCTTTCTTTGCATATTTATAAGGATGGTGAAAGCAATGGACAGATTAATAAGCCAGGATGTACATGCCCTAATTAATTACACCAATAATAGAAAAATCATAAATTGATCATAATTGTGAATACACAGGCATATATAAACTATTTGCTATTAATATTTTTTGGATAATGATCATTGCTATATATGGCTAACGGTTTTGCAAACCAGTATATACCTAATTAAGTTTGGTAAAAACAAAAAAGAAAAACATGCAAACAGGATAATCTTAAAGTGTTGTAATGGTCCCTGATACAATACTAGGAGATATTTTGGACATTTACCTTATTTGGAAAATCTACAAATACAAAAAAAATTGCTGCAAACTTCTTACAAAATACTGGTGGCAAATTATTATTATTGCACCTTCAAATTCTATAAACTTTCAACTAAATAAATCAAATGGTTGAGGACTAAATTTCCAACTAATCCAAGCTATATTTAACTAAATTTCCCATTTCTTCTTCTTCCCATCTTCTTCCCCAAAGTCCAAGCTTCCACCACAGCAGCACTACGACTATATTTCCCTTTATTCCAGATGACACAAAATACTTCCTCCGTTTCACAATGTAAGTCATTTTAGCATTTCCCACATTCATATTGATGCTAATGAATCTAGATAAATATATATGTCTAGATTCATTAACATTAATATAAATGTGGAAAATGCTAGAATGACCTACATTGTGAAACAGATGGAGTAATTATCTTCGAGTGTGTGTTAGGGGTGTATTTGTGGTATGCATTGTGAGTTTTCCGTCTAATCTCCAAAAGAAAAATGCAGCCAATGAAGCGTGTTCTATGTTTCCTTTTTGCATGAACTGTAAAGTAACTGTTCAGGTTTGTGCCCTCCTATTTTACATCCTTATATTCTTCATCTTTACCTAAGCTATGTTAGAAAAATCTCTCCTAAAAAAGTTGTGCGTGTATCCTGTTTCAAGTGTATATCTATTACACCAATCGATTGGCACCGCTCGCTAGAATGCTTATTTTGGCTACACAAAAGTACTGATCATAAATAAGTAAAACAGTTGAATTCAGTAATATCCACGTTTCAATTTGACTATTAAGATGATTAATATTTGTTTCATATTCACGCAAAAAAAATATTTGTTTCATATTTATCTATTTTTCCTGCAGTATGAAGGTGCTGTCAAGGAGGACGGAAGGGGGCCAACCATTTGGGACAAATTCGCACATACATTTGGTATCTTTTTTCCCAATCACTGTAATCAGTATTTAATCATCTCTAGTTTCCTCAGGGCCAAGTCAAGCAGGATAAAGATTCAGTAATTATATTTTTAGGTTTGTAATTCTGGTCGAGAAACATACGTAATATATGTAGTGGTATACGACTCAAGATGCCTATGGATTCTTGATATATATCTGGCTATCCTTGCCTTACCTTGTTTCTTCTACTATCTTAGTACTACTGTTACTATCAATAGTTATGCCTGCTTCACGTATGGAACAAGCATCTCTCGACTCTCATGTTGTATAATTTATAGGTCAGATATTCAAAACCTGTATGCAATTATGCTACCACAGATTAGATATTTTTCTTTGTCATTACACTTAATCTCAGTGTTCCTGATTCGTACATTCTGGGCATGTGTGAAACCATATAGTAAATAGCTTTGACTATTGACTTGGTCGAACATATGGAATAACAAAGAAATCATTAAGAGTTGACCTTTGATCATGAAAATTAATCACCCATGGTTCAATATTATAAGCAAATATTTGCCTTACTTATTTTCAGGAAAGATCATTGACTTCAGCAATGCTGATGTTGCAGTGGATCAGTACCACCGTTTCGAGGTAGACAATTGGACACTACACTCTAACACAGAAAGTGAAAGTATATCTATCTATTTTTTTTGATCGAGTTCAAATTTTGAGATTACTGTGCTTGTCATATCAATATTTCAGGAAGATATTCAGCTTATGGCAGACATGGGGATGGATGCATATAGATTCTCAATTTCATGGTCTAGGATTTTCCCAAGTATGTAATATAATAATTCATTGGTTAATATGGGTATTTCCACTTGTATCTCTTCATTATTTTGCATCTTTATGTTAACTTAATGGTCACACATAACCTTTGAAGTTTTTCTTCATTATGAAATGTTTTATCTGTGGATAAACAGACCTGCACTACTAACAATAATCATATCTGCACTCTTATTCAGATGGCACTGGTGAGGTCAACCAGGCAGGCATTGATCACTACAACAAGCTAATCAACGCATTACTAGCTAAAGGTGGACACTAAAATTGACTCCCCAAAACCTACAAATTGAAATGTTTGAGCTAACTACTTATTAAAACATAGGTTTAATTCACTACTGAATCTAAAGTTTTCTTAAATTTTACTGACAAGTTGAACATCTCCCCTAGGAATTGAACCATATGTAACGCTCTATCACTGGGACCTTCCACAAGCTTTGGAGGACAAGTACACTGGGTGGCTTGACAGGCAGATCATGTAAGCATTGCAAACTTCTCATGCAGTTACAATGGCTATTCGATCTGTAACAGAAGTACCATGATCTTGTTGCAGCAATGATTATGCGGTATATGCTGAGACGTGCTTCCAGGCATTTGGGGACAGGGTGAAGCACTGGATCACCTTCAACGAGCCCCACACCGTCGCGGTGCAGGCCTATGACAGCGGGATGCATGCACCGGGCCGCTGCTCGGTGCTCCTGCACCTCTACTGCAAGAAAGGGAATTCAGGCACCGAGCCCTACATAGTTGCTCATAACATGATCCTCTCACATGCCACGGTTTCAGACATATACAGGAAGAAATACAAGGTAGGTGAACAATTCTTCTGCATATAGTTCAGGCTTCTGTAACTGTAAGCATGATGTATGTGCTGCTTTGATATTGCAATGCTTTCTCAAGTCAATCCTGCATGAAGATTTGTCCATAGATCATTTTCAGTGTTCAGTACGTAATTCGGTAACACAATGATGCAAAGGTAAAGCTTTCATGTTTTTCAGGCAAGTCAGAATGGGGAGCTGGGGATATCTTTTGATGTTATATGGTACGAACCAATGTCAAATTCCACAGCTGACATTGAAGCCGCCAAGAGAGCACAGGAATTCCAGCTAGGATGGTAAGGTTCACAACTCACAAGCTTCATATTTTCTTGCAAATTCCACAGCTGTGAGACATTCAGTACCACTACTGTGACAAAATGGACAGAACCATTGCACTCTGTTCTGTAACTACTGTAGTTTTTCCTTTGTACTCAACCCTGTACTGAATTTTGATAGAACCACCATTGATGAAATGCTCAATTTGGTATGGAAGGTTTGCGGATCCCTTCTTCTTCGGAGATTATCCGGCAACGATGAGATCGAGAGTGGGAAGCAGGCTACCGAAGTTCACGGAGAAAGAGGCTGCACTTGTGAACGGATCACTGGACTTCATGGGGATCAATCACTATACCACATTCTACACAAAGGATGACCAATCTACTGTAATAGAAAAATTGCTGAACAACACCTTGGCAGATACTGCAACCATCAGTGTCCGTAAGTTCCACTTTTCATTCACACTGTTTTCTGAATAATAAGAGAACTAAATGATAAAAAGCACAAAGCACACAACTGGGCTAACTACTTCTCAGATTGCTTGTGCTATGAGAAAACTAGTCGCCCATTGTGTTCTTTTTGCAAGTTTGGATGATTAAATTTGAAAAATTAGCTAGCTCATGACTAATTCATTTCTCATGCCTGCATTTTTCAGCCTTCAGAAATGGACAGCCAATTGGGGATAGGGTAATTAATTCTGCAACATTACATCCTTCTCATGTGAAAATAAAATTGACATTAATATTTTTTTCTTTTGTTGTTAATTTACTGCAAGATTTGAAAACCTTGATTTGTAAAACTGAACTTGGTTTCTGAACTGACTGAGCATATGACTGTTGATTCGCCATGCAGGCCAACTCGATATGGTTGTACATCGTGCCTCGTAGCATGAGGATCTTGATGAACTATGTCAAGGACAGATACAACAAACCAACTGTCTACATAACAGAGAATGGCAAGTGTACTTACGTTATTTGTGATTTGTTCCTGTATGCTTAAAACAAATACTACAGTAATAAAAAATGTCAAACATAAAAATTGCTTCAAGTTTAACATAACAAAGTATAATCTTTCGAATAAAATTTTCATTGAAGTTTCCTCGCAAGAACAAAAACTCAAGTAATATAATAGATTCCCTTCTTTTGCCTCAGGAATGGATGATGGCAACAGCCCCTTCATCTCTCTGAAGAATGCCCTCAAGGACGACAAGAGGACCAAATACCACAATGACTATCTTACAAACTTAGCAGACTCCATAAGGTGCTTAAACAATGACACAATTGAACTTTCGGTTATGAGTCGAGGACTAATTTTCCCTGTTATGGTTGACACTCTAATAACTTTATTATGCAGGGAGGATGGTTGTGATGTTCGCGGGTATTTTGCATGGTCTCTTCTTGACAACTGGGAGTGGGCCGCTGGATACACCTCGAGATTCGGATTATACTACGTAGACTACAAGAACCGGAAGAGATACCCAAAGAATTCAGTGCAGTGGTTCAAGAATCTCTTGGCATCCTCCTCTTGATCAAATTGAGTCGCCTATATATCAAGATGCCTTGATCATTGCTACCCTACTACTACCTAGTTGTGATTTATACACGCAGGATTGCATACCGAGCAGTGACCATTCATGTATTCATTGATTGTATAAAGAGATATCATGCATGGACTTGTTGTACATAATTCATAATATTCTTGCACCAAAAACTGAATAAACACAGATTGTAATAATAAAATAGATACATTTTGATGCTACAAGAAAAAGGCGCACATTTGGTCTGATTTTCCCCTCAACTATATATAAAACCAGTAGTGACTATTGTTCTATCAACTTTCAGTACCATTCACATTTCATTCCTGGTCTTGAACAAGACTGCTATTCAATGACATGGCACCATATTTGGCAAATCAAAATAAAAAAAACACTTAGGAAGTGAAAGAAAAGAGAAGAACATGAGGTGAAAGCAGGGTTTTCAATTTCGGCACCGGAAATTTCGGTTGCACCGAAATTTCCAATAATTTTGGGAATTTTGAAACTTTTTTCCCGAAATTACTTGAAAATTTAACAATTTTGACTGAATTCGAATAAATTTTAACTAAATTTGGAAAAAAGAGGAAATTTTGGGTGAGAAATTTGGTTGCTTGTGGGGTGCAAAATTACTAAAATTTCCACAGTTCCGAATAGAAATTGAAAACCATGGGTGGAAGTGATATGAGAGCTCTTACAAAGCATATAAACAAAAAGGACGTAACTACACAGCTAGTGGTAGCTAGTTTGTCTAAACTAGCTACCACTTCATCTATAAGAGGCATCATCCACTTATACTTCAAATACATTTTTCTCTTAAACTACTCATCCGATCTACGATCCGATTACACCGTTGTGTTCGTAACAATTAAATCTTTACAACAAGATCTCACATGATTATATTTTGATGAAAAATCACAAATTACTTTTATGATATGTCTAAATTACTTTTAGATTTCACTAAGTTACTTCTTAGATATATAAAAGTAAATTCAATAAAACCTATAAGTAATTTATATATATTATAGAAGTAACTTAGAACAAAACGAAGGTAACTTTAGCATGTCATTTGAAGTAAATCCGTTGTGGAGATAAGAACATGACTCTATCTAGAAATTAAATTAATCAGCACAAATTATGAAATTAACTAAAATAATAATAAAAGTAATCACCTCAGAGCATTATGAATGTATAGGATGTATTTTTATCAAATCTAAAAGTAACTTATATATATATATATATATATATATATATATATATATATATGATAATTTGTTCAATGAAAAAAAACATTAATTAAAGTTACTTTCTTTTTGTTATAAGTTACTTCTATAATATATGTAAATTACTTTTAGCCTTTACTGAATTTACTTTTATATGTCTAAGAAGTAACTTAGTGAAATCTAAAAGTAATTTAGACATATCATAAAAGTAATTTGTGATTTTTCATCAAAATATAATCATGTGAGATCTTGTTGTAAAGATTTAATTATTACGAACACAACGGTGTAATCGGATTCTAAATCGGATGAGTAATTTAAGAGAAATTTTTTTTTGAAGCATAGATGATAGGAATATTTTCCGTACTTGTTCAATAGATTAATAGCAACCAAAACTCCTAAAGTACTAGCACGTGGGTGTCTCTGGTTAATACTAATTGGAGAGGCCTCTCCAATTAGATTTACCGAAACAAAAAACTACTACCTCTGTTCTAAAAAAATAGAAACTTTGAAGTATGTCCAAATACATAGCTAAATATTACTATTATATTCACAGAGATACTAGATCTATTGATCTCTAGTCTGGGCCAACAATCCAGGGGCAGAAGGAAAATTGGGACGACCATTAGCTATTGCGAGCAGCCCAACAAAGGAGGCGAAGTTGAAGGGCAAGCGAAAGAAGGAACGTGTGGTTGGGACGAAGTAGCGGGGAACCACTCCCTCCACCTCCTCACCACTCTCCTCTATTTAATCAAACCATCCACCCACCATGCGCCTCACCACCGCGACGAACACCCGACGAGGAGAAAGAAACCACCTGATCGAGCCCGTATCTTTGCAGCCGCAGGAGAGGAGGACGAGTCGTTCGTTGGGCAGCAGGAGGCGGCGGCGAAGATGTCGTGGCAGACGTACGTCGACGAGCACCTGATGTGCGAGATCGAGGGCCACCACCTCACCTCCGCCGCCATCGTCGGCCACGACGGCACCGTCTGGGCACAGAGCGCCGCCTTCCCGCAGGTAACAAAACCACCAATTCCTTGATCGCCGCCGGCCTCTGTTGTTCTTGTTCTTGCGTGATCGATCACCGGCCATCGTTGTGAATTCGTCTGTGCCTGTGCAGTTCAAACCGGAGGAGATGACCAACATCATGAAGGACTTCGACGAGCCGGGGTTCCTCGCCCCGACCGGACTGTTTCTTGGACCAACCAAGTACATGGTCATCCAAGGTGAACCTGGCGCTGTCATTCGTGGCAAGAAGGTACGCATCGTATCTGATTTCTAACCATGGTTTGCTGTTTCTCATTATCTCTAACCTTGATTGATTTTGCAATTTCTTGTCATATGTAAACCATGGGTTCTTGTTGCAATGGTTGGATTTGCAGGGATCAGGAGGCATCACGGTGAAGAAGACCGGGCAGGCGCTGGTGGTCGGCATCTACGACGAGCCGATGACCCCAGGGCAGTGCAACATGGTGGTCGAGAGGCTCGGCGACTACCTCGTAGAGCAGGGCCTGTAGATCACCGTCGCCATCATCGTCGTCGTTGCCACAGTTCAATTCGTCAGCAACAAATTAAACGGAGACGAATGAGAGACACACACAGCACATAGTAGATCTCTATGCTATGCATTTTTCTAGCCACCGTGCATGCATGCATGGGGATTGTGGTTTAATTTTCCTCTCCTCTTTCCTTGTCCACCTCCGCAAGCATGTTCTGGATCACCTCTTGTACGTTCTGCCATATTTTGTTTGATCCCATTTCTTCATGCCGTTTTTGGCTAATAACTTTTTGTATTTCTTTCTGACGTGGTCATTTCGATTTCCATTGGAGTTTGGAAATGTAACAACAAATGTAATTAACATGAGAAAATTCCTTTGACGCCGCTAAAATCCCTTATGTTTTTATGCTAATTTTGCTAAAATTAGTATTACCCTTTAATTTTTAATTTTGATGTCTTCTGCCCATTCTGTCAGTTGACCATTATATTTAAAAGATACTGAAAAAGTCCATTTTATCCTTATGTATGCAATGAACATAAAGTTTAATTTTGTGCAGTCTATGTATGACATTTTTTTAAAAAACATTGCTACGTGATACTTTTACAACGAATCTCTAATATCGAAATTTGTGCAAAAACTCTCGCAGCTGCTCGTGCCACGTGGCTCAACTGGTTTCACTGGAAAAAGCTCCTGCCTCGCGCTTGCGTTGGTGTGACTTTTGCTAAAAAAAATAAATGGGCCCATGGACAACTGCAAAATTAACAGGCCGTGCAAAATATGAAATATCACTGGACGATTCTAGAGAAATCAGAAAGAATCCAGATTTACCACAACCAGCCATATATGCGGTCAACCTTTAATAATATTATAACACAAATTATGTGTAAATTAATCGTTGGTGCACGTCTTCACTCATCTCCACGTAAAATTTCCATATATGCAGTCAATCTCTAATCTTATAATACGAATTTTGTGCAAATTAATATATAGCCATATATGCGGTCAATTTGTCGACATGCCAGCCGGCACACTGATTTTCTAGTATATATTGAATATGCAAGTTAAACATATGCTGTAGAAGTCACAATTAATATGCTACTTAGTCATGAATACTACCTAACATTACAAACTTATGAGTACAATATTGAATATGTAAGTTAAACATATGCTGTAGAAGTCACAATTAATATGCTACTTAGTCATGAATACTACCTAACATTACAAACTTATGAGTACAATATCTAATCTATACTACAAAAAAGTAGTGGGGGTGATGAATCTGTCACCACCAATACCATCACTGACATTAGGGTTCAGGTGAGTCTACAGTCCGTACTATGTAGACTACAGCTCTTTAATTTTCTAAACATGGCATTTAGTTTGTTTTTAATATGAAAAGTCTTGTTTCAACCAATTAAAATACATTTTTTTAACAAACACTTAGTTTTGCTATTTTCAAGAATCTGTTGAAACACATGGCTATTTGGCTAGTACTTCGAACAATATAATAAAAAAAATTACAACGTTCCTACCATCCCCAAGGCAAATTAGACTTTTCCATAGCTATTAAATAGTCACCCTAACAATCATACCAATGACGAGTACATCACTAGCTATGATATGACCAAGGCTATATTACACATTAATAAATTAAAGGTACATATTCTCTATGTAAGATTTATTTACTATATATTTAAACAAGGGATGATGCAAGAATAGGCTCATGGAATGCATGGATGATAAACGAAGTTAATTGAGGACCAAACCATAACCTCTCTGTTGACGGCCGTTATCGATCAGTTTCGACCATCAATATTACTAAAATAGAGGAGAACTAGTGATGCTTGCAATGCATATATCTGTTAAAATAATAATATTCCACTACTATTAGGTATATTAACCTTTTGCAGAGAATAACAATAAAGTGGAGGAGAATCGACATCAGCTCAGACGATAAATCAATCGGACGATGTCGAGAATCAGACTTATGTATGAATGGGCCAAGAACTCAGAATTGACACAATGAATTGGGCCAAAATTCACAAGTCTGCGTATGAGAACAAAAGAGGAGGCTGCCTGTCGAAATTGGGCCAGGTTAGCCTAGCCCATGGTTCGGCCGAACCTCCGCAGCTCCGTTTGATCCAGGGTTCTCCTGGACGGCTGAGATGGCTCCCCAATGACGGTTGGAGGGTATTACCGACCATTCCAACCGTCACAACCGTCATTGGGAGGCTATAAAAGGAGCTCTCATTCTCACTTCACTCTCACACCTCAAGCAATAGCTCTCTCATTTCTCTCAAGTTTAGTTTAGTAGTATCTAGCTGGTGGAATAGGAATATAGTAGAAATCAGGAGTCCGGAAGCCTTCGGAAGAGTTCAGGTATGGCTCTAGTAGCTTTTCTCTTCTCTTTTATAAGCTGTGTACTTTTATTAGAATATTCTTCTAAATACATTTATGGTATTGAAATACTTCCCGAGTATATGAGTACCTACTTTACATTATGTTCATGTTATACTGAATATACGGCTAGCTTATCTGGGAGATGCTTTGGTGCAGGTATAATGTTTGCATATGCAATTACTCTATGTCATGACGATGATATTAGAGTAGTATCTGGTAGTTTAGACGTGGTGTCCAGATTACGGGATATCATTATTTGGGGTTATATATTACGGATGAGAGGTGGGCCGCTGATGGTGACAGCTCAGTACGGGTATTCCTCCACGCCGGTATATAATCCTAAGTTAATTCCTTGGGGAGGGTATTCCTCCGTATTTAGCCCCGGTTATATGGTCATGACGGGCTGTCGTAAGGAACTCGGCAGTCAGGGGTGGTTTCTCGAAGTACCAGGAGGGCATCGGAAAGAGGGTATTAGCTAGTATATCGGTTAACTAGAATGTATGTATACTATGTATATTAGAAGTATAGGAATAGATTATCTTTCTCTTTTCTTTCCACTTAGCTTAGATAATATATTATGAGAATGAGTAGTTAATGCTTGTGTGTCACTCTACCCTTGGATTATCTTAACCCCTGCTTAGAATATGATTATCACAAGTAATATATAAATTATTATTTAAGTTCTCTCTACATGGTCTTCCCACGGGATAAAATAAATATGATACCCTTGGAATACTCTCGGGTGAAATGCTACAATGGTATATCCGTGCGCTTGCGGATGAACTCCATAACCATAATATACCAGAAGTATTTCTGCGTCATTGCTGGGAATTATATTTCTAGTAATGTCGTTAAGAAATACCAACACTCTCCCAAGTCTTCTCCATTTATATAACGTAACTATTGAGCTATATAAGCCAAGATATATGATTCAACATGTTTCGGTCGGATTTGGTCCTCCTAACAGTATCAACATGAAACGGACCTAGCCATTGATGCATATGGTTGCTTGGGACCCATGAGTACTTTTTCAAAAGATTATGATCGTATGCTTTCAGATGGTTTTCGTATCACATCAAAATTCCTCGTAAGCTATTCGAGATTGTGAAATCAAATGTTTGCCCTAGCCGAAGCAACAAGGTTGCTTTGCAAGGTGTTTTGGCCCTTACAAGTTCCAGAATTCATTTTTTGCTGGCCTTTCATCATCTTTCATTCTTTTCTGAATCCACTTTGGGTCTTTCTTGTTTTAAGGCCTTTCATCATCTTTGATTCTTTTGTGAATCCACTTTGGGTCTTTCTTGTTTTGAAGTATTTGCTATTATAACTAAAGAAAGGTGTCAATCAAAAAAACAAAGAAGAAAAAGAAAGAAAGAAGAAAAGAAAAAAAAAGAAGAAAGAAAGGGACAAAAAGAGGATAAAAAAAGGAGAAAAAAGGGGAAGTCTTTGTGCCATTCTTGTTTCATCTTGAGAGACTTCGTGAGAGAGTAGCATCCTAAGTTCCTTTTTTCATTACTCTTGCTTGCTTATACTAGTTTTAGGGACGTGTCTCTGCTAGTGATTGTGAAGTATATAGTATACTTATTCAACTTTGCTACTCTATTATTAAATTTAGCACATCCTTGCTATTATATATGCCTTTCAAGCTAAGCATACTCTTGATCAGGATTGACATCCTCTAGCAATTTTCACACTACACATCCTACAGTGCCTCAGTTAGCCACCAATTACATCTCTTGTTCTGTAAGTAAGAACACTTGTAAGAGCATGGTAAAATGCTTGAGAGAGTGTGACTTTATTTCCAATATAGTAGCTGATAAGGGATAATATTTTTGAATTATCTTTTGTCTTCTACTAACTATGGCAGGTTAGACCACTTATGGGCATGATATGAAGAAGTTAGATGAGAGTTGTACCACTGCGCATCTACTGCGTTGAGGTCTAGCTATATCCTTTCTTCCATTCATTATTATAATGGAGTTGGTAATGATGAAAATTTGCAAGGATGGAAACATTGATTGGGAAAAGAAATGATCAAATTTTTGCATAGTGCCACGTCTATGAAAAAATAGAAAATTAGGAATGTGACTAGTACATTAATTGGATTAGTATTAATATGGTGACATAGTTTAGTTTCATTTTCACATGATACATTGCCTGATAATACTAAGAAAACAAATTGTTATTCAAATAGATATAACTACTTGCTAAGATGATGTGAATGTGTTGGAGGAGTGACCCTTTGTTGTACCTCTTGTTCGATACTAACATTTTGCATGTACTTAAGAACCTCCAAGTTAATAAGGAAAAAGAAATACCTATTGCTTCATGCATATTTCAATAAGGTTTAATTGATACCACACCCACAACTACCGAGAACAAAGGTATTGACAAATGTGCTATACTTATTCAAGGTATGAACAATTTTGATGTGTTAAATATGTCCGGTAGTTATAACATAATTGATGAAATACCTTTGTCACAGGACAATTTGCTTGATGCTCCAAGTGATAAAGAGGAGTTGTGCCATGCGTCACTTATATCCTTATCACAACTTTTGAATGAGCATATTGGGCCTGTTCGGGGAACTTCTAGTTGCTGCAGCTTCTGCCAGAACCAGAAGTTCCCCCAAATAGTCAAGCTTTTGGTCCAGATTATGATAAGTTGTAGTTGTAGAATTCAAAAAATGAACTAGACGCCAGAAGGTAGGAAACCCAGCTTTTCCAGATTATCAGAAGCTGGCTACCAACCAGCTGCTTCTCAGAATCCCCCCCCACACACAAAAAGGCCCATTATGTTGTTGAATCACCATAACATGTTAAAAATCAACACATATGTGTGTTGATTTTTAACATGTTATTACGTACAGTAGTATATGCGGAGGATGTAAGGGCGGAACTGACTGCACGCCTGCAACCATGTGCAGTCAACCATGAATCAGCGTCACCAGCAGCTCGTCGACGATGTCACCGCTGTCCTCCCTCAGCTTGTCTATCAACCTCGCTGCAGTCGTCTCCTCCAACTGTGACTATCTCTTTGTCAAGAAATTCAAGCAGTAATTGTGATGATTGAGATCCACTGATTCTTGTGATTTTTTGTGTTTCCTGGTACTTGTGAGTGATGAGTCCATGCAATGTGAATGTGTGATTGGGATGATTGATATCCACTATAATTTTTCATGTGATTTTTTGTGAGTGATGCCACCAGTTGGTCACTAGGAAGGGCAGATGATTTTTTTTTCACCAGTGAATTACAATAGTGATGAGCGGTATTGACTCCACCAATTTCCGATTACCCTGACCTGTGGCAGGTGTCAAAACCAACCCATCACAAATGAATCAACTTGACGGGTGGCAATACCACTAGGTCAGGGTGGTCAGACTCACCTCTGATGGGTCCTTTATACGGCCCGTCATAGGTGATGACCACCTCTCACGGGTCTTCACCTTTCAGAGATGAGATAGAATTATCACTGATCACTCATCTCTGATGAGGGTCATAACTATAAGAGATGATGGTTTGGACCCATCACCAGTCACCCGGTCTGGTGTAGTGATAATACATTGTGAGACACGTATGACATCGTTCTCTCTTTGATCTCCTCCAAACAAGCAACATCACACACCGTCTCATTTCCACATCCTCTAAAACACCCAGAACCAGTTTACACGGCTTTGTTCTTGGGCCAATATAGTAATATGGACCATGAAGGGTGTTCATCCCTCCAACACACTGTTGTGTCCAAACAAATCGAAAAGAGAGGACTACAAGTATTGGCCCCAACAAACATACTTGAAAGGAATTAACATCCTCTATCAACATCTTGCGTCATTATAGTGATTAAAACGGTGAAATTAGTAGTTAACCACCAACGGTTCACAGATCAAATCACCAGTAAAAAAATAATAATTTTATAAATTGCAACACAACGTGTAGTGTTCAACTCCCTCGTCACACCTAACTGGGTGGACCACCCAAGTTTTTAGGTGGTTCGAGAAAAACCATATGGTTTAACTACTCGATTACTAAGACCATCCTAGTTTTCAGTGCTTCCGAGAAAGCCACAAGGTTTAACCATAATAAAAAGCCCTGTCCTAGAGTGTGGTTCAGTTTTCTCTAGTCAGACCGAGGTCCTGGAAACAAAATATAAAAACCACCTGAACAATGACTAGACATGCATAAGAGCATCACCAGTACCCCTATTCCATTTCCAATACTGATATTTTAGGATTTTAATTTAAAAGCTGCTCCGAGAGATTCTCTACTCTGCTCCTTAACTTTTGGAGTTCCTATCCTATAGTCTTCGCTCTCAACATATGAGGCCAAGCAAGGGCTCCTCTTCCACTCCCAATCTTGCGCTCTCGGTCTTCTCAGCTTGTTCCTACATGAGGAGCAAAATTTTCCCGTCCGGCAATTCTTGGCAACCTTAGCTGCCGGTAGCTCGATGTGCCCTGACATTGGCTTCATCTTCCCGCAGAAAGTCAGAAAATCAATCGGTGCAACTGCAAGCTTCATCACTGTCCTCTTCAACCTCCACACATGTCGATTCGTCACTAACCAACACTGCTACCTCGACCTGGTCAGATCCATCACCCTCCATCTGGATCTTTACCATCTGCCTACCACCGGGCCAGGGGCCTCATCCCTCCGCGTCGACCCTCTTTCCCACATCCATTAGACTCATGCAGACCTGGGTGACGTCTCCTTCCCGAACCTCATGCTAGCTAGCCCACGCAAATCGTCTCCACTGCCAGCCTCCCCAACTCCCCTCCACCGGATCTCCAATGTCGCTATTGGGAAGGTCATCCTTGGCCACATGTGGCTCCACGGCTCACTTCTCCACCTAAGCCTTCTTGGCATCCTCACCATCGTCGCACACGGGAGACTTACCTCACAGGTCGCCGTCGACAACTTGGCCCCACGCCTCCTCCGCCTTGTCTTCTCTTGATAAACACTGCCGCCTAGGCTGTGATTGTGCTTGTCCCAGGCCTCCGCTCCGCTGCCGGGAGGAACAGGCCCTCCTTGCCACCTACCGAGGAACACCACTCCTGGAATTATTCCGTCTTGTTGCTACTTGGAACCCACCACCCACTGTCGTCACCATCAGATCAACCCCACCGTTGGCATCTATGTCCCCTCCACCGCATCGCTGCCAACAGCGACCACCTCTAGGTCCCAATCCTCCAGCGACCACATCTCCTACCTCCTTGATCCCTCTGGGCTCTGACTTTTTCTTTCTTCATTTATCAGCCGAGAATGATATGAAGAGATGGCCTAGCTAGGTCAGAAGGCATTGACTTGTTTGTCTGGTTATGCAAGCTTGGAGCCTACAATGCGTTTGCTTTGCTCACCGTCTTGTCATCTCTTGCATTGTCGGCAATCGTCACATGGGAGGAGGAATAAACTGATTTATATAATGGTTGTTTTGCATGGGTCCGCTTCTTGGTTTTTGGGAGTCAATTTTAGCCGGTCTCTTCGAGGGATAGCTATTTTCAGATATCAAATTTCATTTAGGATTCCTAAAATCAGATTTATTTTTTTTGGGGGGAGGGGGGAATTTAGCCAATCTCTTGGTGATATGCTCTTGGAGCATCTACAAGAGAGGCCCAAACAGGTTCCCTAAAGGTAAATTTCAGGAATTTAATAAAAAGAAAAAAGTCTCGAACAGATATACCCAAATATCATCTCAATATTTACCCAATCCTAAAAATGGTGCCAATCTGATCTAGCTTTTTCGGCACCTCGATATGCCCCCATTCATAGTAATCACATATCATTTCGGCCACCCATATACCATTTTTTTCCTCTTCCGCCATTGTCGGCCTGGCTCTTATTTTTGGTACCTCCAAACAGCATTGCGCTCATGCCGTCATCAACTTGTCTTCTCATCTAGGGCGCCGCTAGTCCTCTTCATCTAGGGCGCAAAGATGGTAAAGGTTTTGGGCCCCATTTTTTTATGGATTGTAACAATCCTTGGTTTTTGGAGGCTACTTTTTTAGTCTCTCTTGAGATGCTCTAAGAACCAAAACAATCTGATGCTTACTCAAATTTAGTTTGCCCCATTTATGCAAAGAAAACTAGCTTTAATTTAGTTATTATATACTTATGAGTGATGCATATACAATTAGAAACAAAAACTGAAGAAATAACTATATATAGTTTTCGTTGTTTTTTTTTCCAACAGACCGGATGAATGTATATACTGTCTTCTTTGTATTGCAATGAAACAATGGCAATCACATATATGTTGTTCCAGATTCACAACTCAAACGGCAGCCGAAATGACCAAACCGGCAAAAAAGAAAAAAAAACACACAATTATTAGCCGAAACGACACGAAGAAACGAGAGGGACTATGGCACTGCAGGAAGTGATCTGCAATGTGTGGTGTTGACAGGGGAAGATGAGAAAAAAAAATTAAACCACAATTAATCCCATGCATGCGCGGTGGTGGCTAGAAAAATTGCATATGGATCTAGTAATGTGACTCGTTTGGCTGAGTTAATTTGTTGGTGAAATTTGGGAACGGTGCGCGACAATGGATGTGATCGATCGATCTACAGGCCCTGCTCTACGAGGTAGTCACCGAGCCTCTCAACCACCATGTTGCACTGCCCCGGGGTCATGGGCTCGTCGTAGATGCCGACCACCAGCGCCTGCCCGGTCTTCTTCACTGTGATGCCTCCTGATCCCTGCCAAACCAAACATTGCAACAAGAACCCATGGCTTACATATGAGAAGAAGCTGCAAATTTAATCAATCAAAGGTTAGAGACAATGAGAAACTGCGGACCCATCATGGTTAGAAATCAGATACGATAAGTACCTTCTTGCCACGAATGACAGCGCCAGGTTCACCTTGGATGACCATGTACTTGGTTGGTCCAAGAAACAGTCCGGTCGGGGCGAGGAACCCCGGCTCGTCGAAGTCCTTCATGATGTTGGTCATCTCCTCCGGTTTGAACTGCACAGGCACAGACGAATTCACAACGGTGGCCGGTGATCGATCACGCAAGAACAAGAACAACAGCGGCCGGCGGCGATCGAGGAATTGGTGGTTTTGTTACCTGAGGGAAGGCGGCGCTCTGTGCCCAGACGGTGCCGTCGTGGCCGACGATGGCGGCGGAGGTGAGGTGGTGGCCCTCGATCTCGCACATCAGGTGCTCGTCGACGTACGTCTGCCACGACATCTTCGCTCGCCTGCTCGATCTGCCTGCCGCGCGCGGCCAAGAAAATTTGTAGCTAGGGTGGATTTGGTCAGGTTTGTCTCTTGCTGGCTCCTCGGTGTTCGTCGCGGGTTGTGAGGCGCGCATATGTAAGCTATAAATAGAGGAGAGCGGCGAGAGGGGGAAGAGGGACTGGATCCCCCACTGCTTCGTCCCAACCACACGTTCCATCTTTAGCTTGCCCTTTAACTTCGCTTTTCCTTTTGTGCATGCTTGCCATCGGTCCCATTTTTCCTTCCCATATTGGATGGAACACAACTACAAAATTATAGGTTCTTCTTGCTTAGGTATACCCTTGTCATTTTCCCTTTTAACCCCAAAGACGCATGCACACATTCTCACGGAGGATATCCGCAAGTGTGTCCCTAATATATGATTCAAGATACGAGGATCAGCGGCAGTTCTTAACCCCATAAAATTCAGATTGAAAGCATACCCCTTGTGCATGATATTCGTGGACGTCAATATTTTAGTTTTGATAGGTGAAGTTATAAACCCATCGCTGATCCATCACCATATTAATTTCGTCCATGTTCAACTCAATAGTGAGGAGTTACAACGTGAGTTCATCAGACCGATCCATTTCCATGTTGATCAAGATCAAGCAAAACGTGCAATATCAATCACTCGATCGCAGTTTCGTGTTTCGTCATATCATATCATATCATACATACAGGATTTCATCAATCATCATGTTTTGTGCCATTTTTATGGGTATACTGCTCAACACGTACGGTGCGTGCGAAAAGGGGAAAAAAAATCAATTTTGTATGCAGGATTGAAGAGATTAGTTAGGGTTAGCCTTCTCAAGTGATCAAATAAACAACAGAAACCACGGTACACACAAACAATAGCAAATATAGTCCTGGAATAGTATTAGCAGGAAATCACTTTTGTCCACAAATGGGCCTGGCGAACCTTATTTTTCACTTGCCAAGTTCCGGACATGCTGCAGTTGCTCTCACAGCAACCTGCAGCAGAGGAATCCTCGATGTATGATAATTTCAGGAAGTTCCATGACATCACATAGTTCATCTTCTCAGAGTGCAAAAACAAGTCAACAGCTCTGCAGCTACAGATGCGGCAGATATATACTCTCTCCGTCCCTAAATATAAGGGATTTTAGTTATAAAAGATTTTAGTGTGATGTGACATATCCTAGTACAGCGAACGAATCTGGTCAGAAGCATATCCAGATTCATTGTATTATGATGTGTCATATCCTACTAAAATCACTTATATTTAGAGACAGAGGGAGGATGTGTTTCCTGAGAACAGGTAGTGAAATGTGTGGTGCCTGAAGACAGAAGGTGATTACATCGATTTCAGGGCCACTAAATAGCAATAGTATAAGGCCATTCGATAGCTAGCTAGCAGCCTAGCAGCACATCCAAACAGTGGGGTTTGTTTACCATCAAAGTACTCAAAATGCTGTTAGCAGATGATCATGTTTGCTCTGCGATTTTCTGTTGTATTTCACATTAATAAAAAAATTTCTGCATACAGTTACTACTACAAGTATGGTATCAAGTAGCGACGTTTACTAGGTTTTGTTCAGATGGCATATGTTATCCCTGTCCACTTCCTCCTAATCGGAAATGTCAGAATGGAACTGTGTATGCGGGCAACTGACGACCTTAACACTAGGACGACCAGGATGCATATCAATGGCATTTTGTAGCGCTAATTCCGCAGCTCTTCGCTCATCACGGAGGCCTCAAAGACCAGGCAGGGTGTGCTACACCAGAATTTGAAGTATCTGAGAACTGGGAATGCCTTCTTATAGATAATTATCTTCTGCTTAGGTGCTCCTCGCATGCGCAATCCAAGGTTTGTCAGGGAAGGCAGTTGTGCAAGAAGAGTGATATCATCATCTGACACCTCCTTCACTGCAAGTTTCAAGACGTGAAGCTCATGGAGCCCTCCAATCCACTTAGGAACTTTGGAAAACCACCAGTACGCCATCTCCAGTCTCTGAAGATGGCGGGATGGAGGGTTCAAAGAACATAGGCCATTTTCACAAGTACCAGGCCAATATAAATGTAGATATTTGAGGTTGGAAAGCTTTTCAAGGGAAGAACGCAAAACATCAATCCATGTCTCCATATTAGATACTACATTTTTTCCAGAGTAACAGAGATTGAGATCTTTCAGATTAGTCAGCTCTCTGATACTTCTGATATTATGTAACGAGTTCTCCCCCAGATCAAAAGAACGCAGAGTGATCAGAGATTTCAAGTTTCCGATCCCATCAGGCAATCCTGTTCCTTCTGGGATAACAAGATGAATCAAGTGAGGCAGATGAACAATATCTGGTGGAATGCAAACTGATCCCCATTCTATATCAATGGATTCCAAAAGTTTTAGCTCCTGAATTTGAGCAGGCAATTGTATCTGCACATGAATATTGGCTTCAATCTTCACATATCTAAGTTGAAACAACTGACGAATTCCTGTTAGGTCCAAACTCATCTGGTGGACAGCATCTGAAAACACTGTAATTAAAACTCGGAGAAACTTAAAGTCTGAAAGATGATGCATGTGCATGTATTTAGAATTTCCAAAGATTGCAAGCGACCGAAGATATGTTAGACTAGTAGTTGCTGCTGCGGTGTCATGGTTTCCGTTGTCATATTGGAGGGAGAGCCGATGGACACTATTGTGCAGGCCCAGCAATGTACTGAAATTATCTGTTACTGTAAAAAATCTCTCTTCTGCTGCCTCATACAAGATAAGATCAAGCATCATATCATGTAGCTTACAGGATACTACATTATTCTGATAGTCTATGTCTGTGGGTAGAATCATGCTCCTGTTGACTAGCTCGTTGAAGTAGCTACCTGCAACATCTTCTGCATCTTGTACCTGGGCTTTATGAACAAAACCTTCAGTTATCCATTGCCTGACCACATCACTTTTCCTTATTATGTAGTCCTCTGGATAAATGCCAAGATAAAGAAAACATGTCTTGAGATGATAAGGAAGGTTTTTGTAACTAAGATGTAAAATGTTTCTCATTCCATCCAATGCAGGCATTATTCCAAACTTATCACTCAAAGAATTGCTTACGTACTCCCATTGTCTATCTACAGAGGTTGCTGGATTAGCTAACAGGCTAGAGACACTAACAATTGCAAGTGGCAGACCACCGCATCTTTGTAAAATTCCAGTTGAAACTCCCTTAAATCGTTCTGGACAGGCATTCTCCGAGCCAAATATTCTATTAAAAAATAGTCTTCTTGAATCATGTTCATTCAGTGGTTTCATCTTATAAATAAATTCACAGCGATAGCTGCAACATTCCATAGCCACCTTTTCAATCCGTGTTGTTGTTATCACTCTGCTAGCATGATTATTTTGGGGAGGGCACATCTAAAAATGTCCCATGCAGATTTGTCCCATAAATCATCAATTATGATCAAATACCTGCAAATGTTTCACATGCAGCATATAAAATAAGCAAATTAGACTAAGAGTAAGTAAGGACTACACTCTCCTTAAAAACAGAGCAAATAGCACAAAGGAAAGACTCATTCTCAGTTCATTGCTATGAACATTTTGGACAGAGCAGAACTGTTCCAATTAAGTTTTTAAGAGGAGATAAGTTGTAGATTACTCATGACCAATATATAACCATCCATGAGACATTACATTGCAGAAACAAAAAAAAAAAAGAAGAAGAAGAAGAAAAGGTATCTTTTGTCTTGTAGATTCTCCCGCAGATTATTGAGAACACCATGTATCTCACAAGATGGAGTAAATGTCTCCTTGCCCAGTTGTGAGAGTATATTACTGAGGATCCTTACTATATCTGGTTTCTGAGAGATGGAGATAAATGCATGACAATCAAATTGCCCTCCAATCTTTTTGTACACTTCGTTAGCAAGTGCTGTCTTGCCTAGACCACCAATTCCCAAAACAGACACCACCATCAACTGTTGATCTGCACCCATAAACCATTTGGTAATCTCATCCCTTGGACCATCCATACCCACAAGGGCCTCTGCATCCGCATATAGCGCACAGAGGCGAGGATCAATGGCTGTATAGTCAGATGTAGAGATACTTGCATCAAGCTTATACCTTTTGTGCCGATGGCTCATCTCCACCACACGTGTTTTCACCTCATTTATTTGATTGGCCATGCGATTTTGTGTTCTCATCCTGTTGAGACGAAAAATGATCTTCGAAATGAACCCAGAATTGCTGTCGTCCTTAGTGAGATGATGCATGGCCTCATCAATCCAGTCCTCAATCTCATAAGCCATCTCTCTTACTTAGTTCATCCACTCTTTTGTGAGTGGATCGAGGTTGTCTTTGTCTGCAAGTATCTCCAGGAAAGCTTTCATGGTCCTGAGCTCATCCCTGAGGAAGCCCACCTCCTTAGGAATGTTGCTGAACTTAACATGCTCTTCATCAATCAGGGTGGCAAGCTTGGCAAGAAGGCAGTTCATCACTCCCGTCGAAACACTCACCATGGCTTGTCCAGAACTTGTAGACATACCTATGTGTAAATCTTGCTCAAAAACAGATCTGCAGAAATTTGACAAGCTCTCGACAAGGGAACACAAAGAAACAAATATGCAAGAGAAGTAGCTCATATGTATGGGTGAAAGGTCATGCTAGCGACTCTTTGGCAGCTGAGAAATGAAGTCATGAAGATGGCAGGTTGCATGTACCTAATGTAAACATCGGTGGTTAGGTGAGTACTTTGACGAAATCTTACATCAAGAAAGCTTAGTCCACGAAATAAAAAAAATACAATTGATGATACCACTGGGGTTTGAATAGAGGATGATGATAGAAAACTAAAGGAGGATCCTGAAAGATATGGACAAGTCAAAACAAACATTAGCAGAAGGAAAATATAGCCAGTATATCTGTTTACAATGCAACTAATACATAAACAAGTGACATGTCAGAAAAAAAGTTTAATAGTGCAGTAGCAAAACATCGCTGCAATTTGAACTCCGAAAAATGAATAACACAGAACAGACCACAAAGGTACCTGTGCAAAAAGAGAAAAATGGAGGCACCGTCTCTGTGTATCAAGGAGATAAGAGGATTACATCTGTTTTCCTATTTCCGTTGCAGTCGCTTTTCTTGACTTTTTCCCAATCTCATACCATTCTAGATAGCAACATGCACCAATTACCTACACTCCTCTGCTTCAAGAAAACTCAGCAGGCTCGCCAGTATTTGTAGTAGGTGTGCTGACAACAGTTAGCACTGGAAGTTTAGTCTTGATCAAAGTAAAATAATAATAATTATAGCTGAGAATATTTAGGTGCCTCCAGTCCTCCACCAACCATTGTTGCGAACAAGATCCGAAGCACCCTGCGTATCTCCTTTCAAAGCAAGTGTTATAACTGCAGTGCAGACTGCTGCGTTGCACAGTCAATCTTGTCTCAATTCTTCAAGGGCCTTCTCCTTGTCATACTCTCAAGCAACATCTTCGATCCATAGTGGGATAACTAATCATATGACATTTTTTTTTTTTGAAACTTTCAGGACATGCTGCTGTCAAAGCTTAATTTACAGTTTCCCACCATTTAGAAAACATTTATTTAGCATTTGCCACACTGATTTAAACTCGTCTTATTCCTCCTCTTTTTTGACTTCAATTCCTTTTGAAACCAGTCCCAACTTCCTCTTGCCGTTTTGGCCTTGCGCCATGTTGTCTTTGTTCCTTTCTCCCCGCAGCCATGATGGTGGCCTCCTCCATCCATCCAGCCTCGGAGCTTCCCGCCTGCAACCGGAAACTCTCTTGTACTTTAGCACACACCGAAATACTCGAATCCCCATCTAATCCATCTGAACTCGAATAAGGAAATCCCGTTGACAAAAGTAGGGTTACCGCGTACCGGACGACGCGCGGGCTCCTCCCCTTCCCTCGATCCTCAAGATGAGCACCCCCACCGGAAGAATGAGGGAGGAGGCGATGAAGGGCGGCATATGCCGATGCACCCATTGGCGGCGGACGGAGGCGTGGTTTTTACGGAGCTTGCCACTACGGTAGGCGGTAGCCATTTCTTCATTTTTCTTTTTGTTTTTAATCGACCTCTTTCTTACTTCGGGCCCAAAAACATTACATCGAATCTTCGGACACATGTATGGAGTATTAAATATAAATAAAAAGAAAACCTAATTGTATAGTTATGGGGAAAATAGTGAGACGAATCTTTTGAGCCTAATTAGTCTGTGATTAGCCATAAGTGCTACAGTAACCACACGTGCTAATGACGGCTTAATTAGGCTCAAAAGATTCGTCTCGCGGTTTCCCGGCGAGTTCTGAAATAGTTTTTTTATTCGTGTCCGAAAACCCTTTCCGACATCTAGTCAAACATCCGATGTGACGCTTAAAAATTTTCTTTTCCCTTACTAATCACGCCCGAAATGAATCTTACTAAACACGCCCGAAATGAATCGTGCATAGCTATCCTTGCTCGGCGAAGTCAAACCATCCCATTGCCTGCTTGCTATGCTTTCTGCACCCTGTGTTTGGTGGGGAATTAAACTACAACTGCAGTAGTATCTTGAGAAAACCCTCTCACGTCGCCTCCCCGGGCGACTCGAAAGGCGACCACGCCGGCGTCTTCCTCCTTCACCCGCCTCCTTCCCCGCCTCGCCGCCGCCTGAGCAGGCGCCGGCAAAGCTGGGCGGCCACAAGGACAGGGGCGGTGGGGCCTCGTCCCTCCCCATACTATGCGGCGGCAGCAGGGGGCGATGCTCGGAGCGGCAGCGGTGGAGGCCAGACCAGCGATGGGCCCGGCCAGATCTGGCGAAGGTGGCGACGGCGGCGGCTGGTGGCAGTCGTGGGGACGAGGGGCTTGGTGGCGACGACGGCGAAGTATCATGTTCGGGAGCGGCGGTAGTGGAGGCCAGATTCATGCCTGGCCTGGCCGGATCTGGCGGAGGGGTAGCTGGCGACGAGGAGTGGAGGAGACGACAGCGGCGCCTGGTGGTGGTCGTGGCGGCGACGGCCCTCAGATCCGCACCTCTTGGCCGGATCTGGAGGGTGACCGGCGGTGGTGGTCGGCTGGCGATGGCAGTTGGCGACGGCGGTGGCGGTGGTGGTCTGTCACACCCTGAAGTTCTTCTCCCAAGCCTAAATCAAATTAATAAATGGTCCTAAGAAATTACAAGTGTAAAGGCATGAGAGAAACCCTAATATAATAAAGGCATTTAATAATCGAAAAAGGCATGTGGAATTTTTCTTGGGTTCTACATGTCAAAATATGCTAACAGGATTTTTAGTGGAATTTTCAGAGCTCTAGAAATAATTTTAACCAATTAAAATCGAGCACAAGCATTATTTAAATCCCTGAAAAATTCTTTTTCTTTTTCATTTTCTTTTCCCCCCTCCTTTTCCTTTTGGGCCGCCGGCCCATTTCCCCTCCCCCTCCCGCACGCCAGCTGGGCCAGCCCGAGGCCGAGGCCCAGCCCGCGGCCGCCCCGCGCCCTCCCCTCTCCGAGTCGCCGACAGGTGAGGCCCACCTGTCGGGCCCGTCCCCTACCTCCGGCCGGCGCCACCCGCACCCACAACTGCCGCTCCCACCTCTCCCGCGCGTCCCGCCCACATCGACCGCCTCCCGCGCCATCTCCCAAACGTCCCGCAACTGCCACCCCACTTCCCACGCGTGCCCGCGCCGAGAAACGGCCGGGAGCCCTCTCTCTCTCTCCACCTCCCCCACTTCGCCGGCCTCGCCCGCCAATCCCGGCCACGTCCCGCCCCCTCAAGCCTACATAAAGCACCCCCGGCCCCTCCTCTCTCTTTTTCACATTGCCATCGACCGCTCCCGTGCACCCCATCGCCCTAGCGCCGTCGCCCTCCTCTCCACCGCCGCCGCCGCTGCTCCGGTTGCCGCTAGCCGCCGCGCCGAGCCGCGCCGTCAACGCCGTTGTGTTCACCTCCTCGAGCGCCACCCCGTCCACCCCTCAGTCGGCCGAATCCGCAGCCGGAATCCGCCATCCCTCTTGCACCGGTGAGCATCGCCATGGTCGCCGCCTTCGGCCAGCGCCCTAACTCGCTGCGGCCTCCCTCTCGTTCTCTAACCTCCCTCATTTTGTTCTTTAGGTCATCCCGGAGCCCGTCCTGCCATCGCCGCCGCTCGCCGTCGTCGATCGTCGTCGAAGAGGCCTCCCCTCCTCCCTCCCTCCCTCTCTCCCGTGCCGCTAAGCCGCCACCTAGCCGCCTAGCCGCTGCGCCGCCGCCTAGCTGTGCCGCCGCTCGCCGCCTCGCGCCGTCGCCGCCGTGCGCCATGGCTGCCAGGCCGGCTTAAGCCGCCCGCGCGTACGCCCGGCCGCATGCCACCTCCGCCGGCCGATCTACCCATGGGTAGATCAGGGCCGTCCATCGCCGTCCGCGTGGCAGCCCACGTGGCCGCCACGCCGGCGCCACGTGGTGCTCCCCTCCTTTGGTCTCGTGGACTCGGTCCACCGTGGACCGGCGCCTCTGAGCCGATGACATGTGGGGCCCGCATGCCGGCGCTCCCCCCCTCACTGATGTCATCCGGGGTTAATTAATGCGCAATAATTCAATTAAGCCTTTTTCTTTTATAGTAAAAACTCAGTGAATCTTCTAAAATTCATAGAAAATTCATATGTGCTCCGTTTAAGCCCATTCAAGTCTCAGTAAATCAAGAAAAAACCAAAGAATCCATTAAAAATGGTTTTGTTTACTATTTCAATAGTCTTATAGCCTGTTTGTATTATTTGCTTTCTATGTCGCATAGATTCCGGCTCTCCCGACGCTCCGGTGTACTTTGAGATAGTCGTCGAGGTCCCTCCAGCCGCAGAGCAAGGAAAGTCATGCTTGTCTCTTGAATATGTTGATCCCATATTGCAAATGCCCTATTATTTTTTTTTAAATATTGCATTGTTTTATAATGATACCATGGGATGACTACCTACTGTCTCAGCCATATTATTCGACATCTTGTTCCTTTGCTTGCTTGGGTTGTAACTTGACTAGATGTTGGATTAGGGATTGCTTAGCCTTGCTTAGTTCAACTAGTACACAATATGAGGATTACACTAATGCATAGACTTCAGGTTCTAGCATTGATGTTTGGACTAGTACCATCGCTTTGGTGTTGGTTAGTTAAAATATATTAAATGGTGGGTTGTGGGTGCATGGTTCTGCTAGTCGCACCCATGGCAATCAACGGCTGGTTCGCGAGATGCCCTGGAAGAACTTATCATACTTGCCACAAGCCAGCGTGGGCCACGGCTGGGCTTGTAGTGTAGCTTTCCTCTAGCTGACACATCCAGGCAAGGGTGGGCGTGATGGAGCGGGATGGGCCCTGCGATAGCCTTTGTCGCTTCTGGATTCACCTAGGTGACTGCCCGCTGCCTTGCGAGGAGTGGGGGTGAAACCTGAGGTGTGGTGTGTTTGGTTAGAGGGGGTTATGCGAAGGGTCCTGTCACGGCCTCTTTCTGGTATGTCGTGGTGGCATGCCAGCACACGGTAACGTGTCGTGGGGCTGTGTCTTGTGGGTACAGTTGTACTCCTTTGATTAGAATAAAACTATTCGAATAGCCGTGCCCGCGGTTATGGGCGGTCAACCAGATTCACCGTGATTAGTCACACCCCTAGTTAGTTAATGGAACTGATTAGTGCGGGTGGTGGTTTGGGCCTATCTCAACGTGGTGTAGCGTTGAGCAGTGATTGGTTTAATATTGGCTAATTATTACCACTGTTTTACTGCTTTCAACTACTGTTTATAAATGCTAGCTTTATGCAAATGATCTCCTTTAGCCCTCCTTTGGTTATACTTTGCATCATACCCTCCGTTCCGATATGACTTGCTGAGTACAGTGGGTAGTACTCAGTCTTGTTCGATCTCCCAACCCTCAGAGTTCGAGTATGCGTCCAATGGTGGTTTCTCCGAGGAGTAGGCTTCGTCCGTGCCGTCGAGGATGCCTGTGGAGTGGTGTTCCCGCTACAATCCAAGTCAAGGCTTAGCTCCAGTTATTTTTTTGTTTTTCTGAAATTTTTACATTTTGGTCCTTTTTGAAAACTTATTTTACAAATAGACCCCTGGAAAAACTTAAACCGGAAATGGTCCTTTTTGGGGCGCCAGAGTGGTTGGCGCCGTACCCCAACATGGCGGCGCCAGCCACACTGGCGCCGTGCCCGTGCCACCGTGGCACTCCCCCTCACCTCCCCACCTCAAATCCACTCCATTTGAACTCGTTTTTCGCGGGATTTTTTGTGGAAATCAAAGAGAAAGGTAGACTCCTTCATTCACCCCTCTTTTTTTTCGTTTTTATTGGTTGAATTTGTAGATCGGTGGGTAACCCTAGAACCCCTTTTTTACCCAAATTTGTGATTTTTAGCATTTGTTCTTAGGATTGGCTTGTTGTAGTGCTACATGTTTGCAATGTACTCATTGGTGTCACGATTTTTTTAACCATATATGTGGTAATGTTAATTTTTGGATGGTTTGGTTGGATGGATGGATGAAAAATTATGGTTGAGGCATGAAAGTAATTTTAATTTGATGGACTTGATGCTATAGTCTATAGGTTAAACTTTTAACCATTAATTATATGAAGGTGAGAAAATTTTGGTTGCATTATATAAATTGATTATAGTTAACTAGAACTAGGTTGGGTTATATGACGGAGTATTTGTAATATTTCGATGTGTAATGCACTAGTAAACTTGTTGATAGTTGTAGGTGGATTAAATATTTTTTTGGAATAGTAGCTTTGGGACAATTTAAGTTATGCATTGGTTATAATATGTCGGTTTGGACTACGTTTAGGAATGAAGATTTAATTTTTGTTGTAAAGTTACATTTGATTTTTTGGTGTAGATGGATAGACTTGTTCGTGTTTACTACGGTGGTAGAGTGGTGGAACCTTATGTTGTGCGTTTGAGAAATTACTAATAATGACAAGTTAGCATTAGAGGAATGTCGTGCGTTTGAGAAGGTGTTTGGGAGGAAGCCGGACATTCCTGAGTTTAGGGACCTAACACATGCCCATGGTGCACTACTAGATGGCGGCATCAACTTAGATCAGTTGCCAGAACCATTCCAGGTGGATGGTCTCAGAAAGGATTTAGAGTTCCCATCCATGGTCGCATTGAAGCTATGGCTCCAGGAGTACGCCATCGTGCACCATCGTCCATACCGTGTTGTCAATTCTGCCACAAATAGGAGGTACACTGTTAAATGTGAAAACCCACGGTGCAAATGGAAGGTCCATGCAACTAAGAGGTCTAGTGGCACATGGAGGATATCACGGGTAGGTAAGGAACATAGTTGTGCTACTGCCGAAGGTTCAGGGAGCCACCGGCAGCTAAATATAAGTGTCCTAAGCGTCCAAAAAAATATAAGTGTTAGGGAGGTAAATATTTTGTTTTCCTACTCATGTTCTCGCATTCATTTTCTTTTAATATATATCACATTGGTAATTAACGGTGAATTTATTACTTTTTCATGTAGGATGGCCGAGGAGGGACAACCGCCGACTTACCCAGCCTTGGAGGCGTACTGTGAGGCCCGTCATCGCGGGGCTGCGATCGAGGCGGGGAGAGTATGAATCGGCATTGATTCACTTGTGCATAAGTATCGGTAGCGTGTATTTGACATTATATTAACTAATTGATTTACAATTGCTAATGCAGGTACTTCAACCGCTCCGAGTCAGAGCTCATGCCCCCCCAGTGTTCGACGATAGGTACATCCCGTACCTAAGGGCGGCCGGGTTGCTTGGGGTGGCCTTGGTCGTGAGCAGAGGAATGCCAGTGTTCAACGCTCCTGCGTTGACAGCACTTGTGGACAGATGGAGGCCTGAGACACACAGCTTCCACCTCCCCAGTGGTGAGATGACCATCACTCTACAGGATGTGGCTATGATCTTGGCCCTCCCATTACAGGGGCATGTCGTGACGGGCAGGACAGAGACTCCTGGATGGCGTGCACAAGTGGAGCAGCTGTTTGGCATTCCACTGAACATTGAGCAGGGGCAAGGGGGGAAGAAGAAGCAGAATGGAATACCCCTGTCTTGGCTGAGTCAGAACTTCTCACATCTTGACGACGACGCTGAGCCATGGCGTGTTGAGTGTTATGCCCGTGCATACATCTTGCACTTGTTGGGAGGGGTTCTGTTTCCTAATGCTGGGGGTGACATTGCTTCGGCGATATGGATTCCTTTGGTCGCCAACCTTGGTGATCTGGGCCGTTTCAGTTGGGGCTCAGCAGTGTTGGCGTGGACATATAGACAGCTCTGTGAGGCCTGTTGTCGTCAGGCACTATCATCCAACATGAGTGGTTGTGTGCTATTGATTCAGCTGTGGATGGGGTTAAGACTACCGGTTGGAAGGCCTAAGTGGAGGCAAAGCTTCACTCCTTGGCCCTACAATGAGCCAGACATGGAGAAGACAGTGGCCTACCTTTTTGAGAGTACTGCCACTGCACATGCTCACCGGGATGTGGCATACAAGCATTATGTCAATGAGATGGACTGCTTACAGCCTCAACATGTAAGTACTTTCAATATCACTTCTAGTTAGATATTTACTTCTTTAATTGAGATACTAACCAACGACATCTCTTCAACTTTTGCAGATTGAGTGGTTACCATACCACACAAATGAGGCTTCAAGCCTGTCCTTGAACTCGATGTGCAATCGAGACTCTGACTATTTCATGTACCAGTGCCCATTGGTTTGTTTCTGGGCAGTTGAGTACCACCTTCCGCACCGTGTCATGCGACAGTTCGGGAAGAAACAAGATTGGCCGGTTGAGGACATCTCAACTGGAGTTAAATTACACAAGTAAATATTTCTTATCTTTGTTTGCTTTCATTGTCAATGTTCAATTTTGTACCATTTAACCCTTGTCGATGCTCACTATTGTTTCATCACCTTCTACTTGTCTAGATATGACAGGGTGAGAACAAAGAAGGTGAAAGACTGGGGGCTAGAGCATAATAGATACATTGATGAATGGAGGACAGCCGGAAGGAACGATAGGTACATCGAGACTATACACCAAAATCATCTTTTCTCAGAGTATCTTCGTTGGCTGCATAGGACATATAGACTGTTCCTCCGCCCTACTTGGACGGAAGCCGACATAGAGGATGACCACGACTCCGATGAGGGGCGGAATCCCTATGATGTCCGGACTAGAGTTGGATATCAAATGGAGCACGCCCCACTTAGAGACAGAGTCGTAAGTTTTCTTGCATTTGTCAAAGTTATTTCCATTTGCACCCTAGACCCTAACATATATCTTCTCACGCTTTCAGTCGAGAGAGCTCCTCAGGAATGTGAATGAAATGGGGCATGCCCTCCAAGCTCCGAGGGGTGGTGAGGACACGGAGAACACACTCCACAATGTTTTAGAGGTAAAATTTATTTAGCACTTTGCATTACTTGAGTTATGCCTAACAAACTTCTTTTTTTTTGAAATGCAGAAAGTTCGTCAAAGGTGCCGAAAACTTGCAGCAAGATTAGGTTGCAGGTCGGTTGGATTGGACGACGTGTACCAACCGCGGAGACTACCACCACCACTACCTCAATCCGTGCGTCCAAGTACCGCTCGATACTCCATCAGGATAGAAGAGCGTGAAGGAGTTGGTGGCTCGTCGTCGTCACGCATTAAGCAAGGCGCCGGCACCACCTAGCGATGACGATGACGACGAGGACGAGGAGGATGAGGACTACGTCGCACCAGACGCCGAGGAGATAGATATGTCGCAGCTTCCCGACGCGCCTCAGGGGACGCAACCCACGCAATAAAACTTGCGATCCACTCAGGCAGCAAAAAAGAGGTAAAATGAGCTTACCATTCTCAAATGTTATTTGATTTCCCTTATTTTGTTTTTAAAATGTTTTAAACATTGGATTTTCAAATGTAGGTACACTCCGGGCTCGCAAGCAATTCGGCGCCAACGGAAGAAGTGATTTGTATGAAGTTAATCTATTGGTTGGTAGTATGACATATGTGGTGCACTTTGTGATATAAAATGTGATGGACTATGTGAGGACTATGTGATGGACTTTTGACATTGTTTCATGTGTGGAATATAGGATGGACTTTTGGCATTGTTTGATGTGTGGTATATGTGATGGATTTTTGGCATTGTTTGATGTGTGGAATATGTGATGGACTTTTGGCATTGTTTGATGTGTGGAATATGTGATGGACTATGTGAGGACTATGTGATGGACTTTTGGCATTGTGATTTGTGCAATTGGAACTTGTTTTAGTCTGTACGAATCTGTGAATTGTGATTTGAATTGCGAACTGTGAATTGGTACATTTGTGCAATATGGATCTTCAATTTGCAAGGAGGTAGAGGGCGGCACCAACCACCCTGGCACCGTGGTTGGGGAGGGCGGCGCCAGCCAGTGCCGCGAGGCAGAAGGGTTTCGGGCTGGGGGGAGGGCGGTGCCAGCTACCCTGGCGCCGTGGTCCATGAGGGCGGCGCCAGCCGAGGCCTGGAGGCAGAAGGGCTTCGATGGGGGAGGAGGGGGGCGCCAGCCACCCTGGCGTCGCGGTCTGGGGGGGCGCCAGCCGTTGCCCGGAGGCAGAACAGACTTGGCGAAAATTTTGAGGGGGGAGAAAGTTGGTGGGGCCCGCAGAGGAGGGGCACGCCAGCCATGCTGGCGCCGTGGTATGAGGGGCGGCGCCACTCTGGCTGGCGCCCCCTTCGGCCTAGTCAGCACCTCCACGACAGCCCTACTGCCACGGTGGCACGGGCACGGCGCCAGTGTGGCTGGCGCCACCATGTTGGGGTACGGCGCCAGCCACTCTAGCGTCCCAAAAAGGACCATTTCCGGTTTAAGTTTTTTCAGGGGTCTATTTGTAAAATAAGTTTTCAAAAAGGACCAAAATGTAAAAATTTCAGTTTGTTTTTCCGCTACATTTATGTAAGACTTTTACAATGTTTGTAAGACGTGGATCTGTATGTCAACTTTGTCGTTTGTGTACCCTGGCCGGTTCTGGATAGGGGTTTTAATGCACTTTCTACTTGGAATTCTATTCGGGAATTTCTATGCGTGACATGGTCGCGGTAGTTGGCGGGGTGGCGGCGGCTGGCAACAACGGCGGAGGACATGGCGGTAGGCTGCTTTGGTGTCGGAGGGTGACGGCGCGGCAGTTGCGTTGGTGGTGGCGGCGGTTTGCGGAGGCGGCGGCTAGCATCGGCGGCTGGTGATGGTGGCAGCGGCAACGGCGGCCGACTTGCGGTGGCTGTGACTGTGGAGGCAGTGGCGACGTCGGTGGATGCGGGGAAGGATTCAGGTGCAAGGTGAGGATGGCGATGGCGAGGTGGCCTGGCGTTTGGCAGCAGCGGCTGCGGTGGCGGTGACTGTGACTGAGGTCACCGGAGGCATGGCAGCCTTGGACGGCAAGCCGAGGGCATGGTAGATGGCTGCATCTGGCCGGCGCAGCATCGTTTGGAGGTGGGGTCGGAGATCGGCTTGGCGCAGAGAGGCGCAGCCGATGGCAGCGGAGGCCGGCTCATCCTGAGAGGCGCGGACGGCGGAGATGGAGGCCGGTTTGGCGCGAGAGACGCGGCCGGCGGTGGAGGAGGGGACCTCGGTGTGAAGAGGAGCTGCCGGTAGGTGTGGCGCGGTCTTCGGCGCATGAAGGCTGGCTGGTGGGGGACGCCGGTGCAAGGGTCCCACATGTCGGTAGAGCTTGAGTGGTGGTGGAGCATCGGTTCGTCAGACGTGGATTCGCAGGTGGTGAGCGGCAGGTGAAAACTCAGACCGGCCTTGGCCGGTCCGACAACGATGGTTCATTCCCCCTCTTGAGGGTGTTGGCGTGCTGTCTCACCCCCTCAAGGGTGGTTGCCGTGCGAAAGCCTAGTCTTGGCTCCTTTGAGCCCCGACAGACGGCGGCGACAGTTTTTCCGTCGCTTCTCTTCTTGAAGACGTCGTTTTAGCATCCCCTAGGGGGGTGATCTCGTCTGTGTTTCTTTGTTGGTCTAGCGGCGGTCGGTCACGCTTTCAGTGTTGGCGCTGTCGGTGTGCAGGTGGTGGTATATTTTTTCCTTTTTCCATGTTACGACCCTCCAGGGTTGTATTCTTGTAATTTTTTCCTACTCTATCGATAGAACTTCGCACCGTCTCATGCGAGTCGTTCAAAAAAAAAAACTACAACCGCCCAAACGATTAAACGTCAGACACGAAAAACCATATCTGCACTTATAATGACACAGAGTAGTACATCTACTTTTAATAACTATCTAAATACCACTCTTAGGGCATCCACAATGTACCATAAGAATGAGACATAAGGCCATATAACAAATCATATTCATTGTGGACATTAGTCATAAGGCATTAAATGCCAAAAATAGTAATAAGCTTAGGGCATCCTCAATGTTTATGGTCATTAGAGCAATAAAATGAGACCCACAGCTTTATATTCATTTGTATATAGCACATGCTACAATGTGTATGTTTTTTTTTATCTTAAGGTAGGACCCACTTATGAGAAAACTCTATTCAACGTGAATGAAAGAGCACCATATATAAATTATTTTTTTATTTCTTATGGTCTAGCCTTAAGTCTTAAGCTTAAGATTGGCCATAACAACATTTCTTGCTTTCTCTTATCCCAATGCATAAAGATAGAACAAAAATACTAATTTATTTCTTAAGGTTACTTTGCATGCAACATTATGGATGCGCTTATGGCTCAACCTCGAGAAATAAAATAATAAGATAAAACACACAAGCACACTAGAGACGAGGGTGAGAATGACTCTATGATATGCTGGGACCTATTTTTACGTAGGACTTTTTTACATAGTTGTGGGACGCATCTTACCATCACTTCTTGTCTTAAACATTGTGACCATAGTCATAAGGTGTGGTGGGTGTTGACGGTCATTATCGATCAGTTTGAACCGTCAATATTACTAAAATAGAGGAGAACTAGTGATGCTTGCAATGCATAAATTTGTTAGAATAATAATATTCCACTAGTATTAGGTCTACTAACTTTTTGCAGACAATAACAATAAAGTGGAGGAGAATCGACATCAACTCGAATGATAAATCAATCGGACGATGTCAAGAATCAGACTTATGCATGAATAGGCCAAGAACTCAGAATTGACACGATGAATTGGGCCAAAATTCACAAGTCTACAAAGTGAAGCAATAGAGGAGGTTGCCAGCCGAAGATGGGCTGGTTTTTGCCAGCCCATGGTTCGGCCGAACCAGGGGGTTCGGCCGAACCCCCATCTCCACCGTTGAGGCCAGGGTTCGGCATGGACGTCCAAGATTGCACCCCAATGACGGTTGGAGGGTACTTCGGGCAATTCCCCTTCCACAACCGTCATAACCACCTCTATATAAAGGCTTCACTCTCTTCACTTCAACACACACCTCAAGCAAGAGCTCTCTCATTTCTCTCAAGTTTAGCTTAGTAGTATCTAGCTGGTGGAATAGGAATAGAGTAGAAATCAGGAGTCCAGAAGCCTTCGGAAGAGTTCGGGTATGGCTCTAGTAGCTTTCCTTTCCTCTTTTGTAAGCTTTGTACTTTTATTAGAATACTCTTCTACATACATTTATGGTATTGAAATACTTTCCGAGTATATGAATGCCTACTTTACATTATGTTCATGTTATACTGAATATACGGCTAGTTTATCTGGGAGATGCTTTGGAGCGGGTATAATGTTTGCTTATGCAATTACTCTATGTGATGACGATGATATTAGAGTAGTATCTGGTAGTTTAGACGTGGTGTCTAGATTACGGGATATCATTATTTGGGGTTATATGCTGCGGATGAGAGGTGTGTCGCTGATGGTGACAGCTTAGTACGGG